GTGTCCCACTTGTTGTTGATTCTTGACAAAAAATTTTTGTCAAGAATCAACCTGCCTTTCAAGCCTGAAATGTGAAAGGCGAAATGTTGAAAGGTTCAAGGGGGCCGAATACTTTCGCAAGGCACTGTATGTCAGCAGAAATAAAAAATTATTAAATTAAGTGGAAAAAGAGTTATCTATATTTAACAAGAAATAACAAAAACATAAATCATTATATGCACCTGTCCACCAAACGCTTCAATTAATCTCTGTGCTTTTCCAACTACACCTATGATATAACATACTGTATAAAAAAAACATTTGAATTAGCCTGTTTTTAATTTTCTGTCTGACTTTTGTGTTGCGTTTAAGGCACATGAGCCACAAACTGTCTCTGTGGCCTTTATTGTGCTGGGGGTCACATTTCCAAACTGCAGCTGGGGCATGACATCACTGCGCTGTGTTTTTATAGGAGCATGTGCTGCAGAGATATACAGCAGCCATAGTGTGCGTGCGTGCGTGTGTGCGTGTGTGCGTGCGTGTGTGTGTGTGCGTGCGTGCCTGTGTGTGTGCTGCAGTGTTTTGTACTGGTATATTTCCACCTATATGTTCATGATCCTAACCTCAGGCAGTTCCCAGGATAACTCACTCCTCAGAGTTGAACCCGAGGTTACAGAGAGACACTTTTATTTATGGATTACTTAACAAACAGGTTTAACTCAACCTGGCAGTAAAAATGAACAAACATGACTTTTAAATGAGAAGAGGATATACTGTTATAGTTTATCTGTTTAAACCTGTCTGCCATGTGTCAAAAGTATGACTTCCAAGCGCTGGGGCCTTTATGAGATGACTTTTTTCAAAGTTCCTGCTGCTTCTGATGTTGTGCAATGCCGCCCCTTCTGTCCAAAAGCTCCTGTCTCAGTCCTGTAACAGTGTGATGTCATTGCAGCACTATGACATCACACTCAAAGATTTTAAAACTAAAGTGTTGTCCATAAATCAGCTTTGGCAATTTCTAAGGTGAAGTTATATTTTTTGCAGTTGGTAATTTTCAAATTTGGAAAAAAAATACAATACAAGTTCTGCATCTCCCTCTGGTGGCAGCACAGGGATGGAGCCAGTCGACAGCAGGGTTTCCCTTTCATATGTCTCTTGAAGATATCATTTCACATTCTAAAATATAAAATGACGACGTATATGTTCCCATTATACATTTTAATGGACAAAAATAATGCTCAATGTTTCTTCTTTAAGAGTTTAATGAATAATAAATCGCGAAATATCACAACAAGCAAAAACACTTTATTTCACCTTTTCTTTTTCTAGAACTCCATTGAGACTCGGTCAGTAAAGGCAGCACCAAATGACCTTCCCAACACACCGGAAGTGGCCACAAAGAAGAACCTATTTGAAGCCGGAGATGTTTTCTGTCAGAGTCCAACCAAAGCACCAGGCTGCAAGGTAAGCACGAATTGTTTGGCTTTTAAAAATATACTGTATACTTTAACAACATAATGTCAGCTACATAAAGTCATTATAAAAGTTCTTGAAACTCTTGCAAATTATAGTTTTTTTGTTATGGTTTTTGAGATTTCACATTGTTTCCTTTCCCGTGTTCTCTGGTCCGTTGTTGGCAAAGCAGAAGCTTTGTAAAGTCCTCTGAGACGGCTACTGTAGTGATTTAGGGCTGTATGTAAATAAATTCAATTGAATATTTTTCCTATTTGTGCTATGTACATATTTCAGTATCCAACAATGTTTTGTGATGTAGAAAGCAAAAAGGAAAAGTTTCGAGGCACTCTGACTTAACTTAAAAATCCTTTATTATGGAAGGGACGTTATTTTCCTACAGTTCCTCGATTATATGCACTCACTCCTCTAATATATTGTGATGTTTTGAACAGGACACAGAAAGTCTGAAAGTAGGTGTGGCCAATCTAATCACTCAGTGGGTGAAGGGCCCCAATGACCCAAATCGGCCGGGGACTGGGAAATCTACAGTAAGTCAACAACTGCACTACTTAAATCTGGTTATTGTTGTCCTGTTAATGCAAGATTTTCAAGAATTTCAAGTATTTCCTGAAGTAACATTCATAGTATGGTGAATGTTTATAGGTACAGCTGTTGATTTTTACAATGGTTTAGGACCGGCATGTCCAAACTAAGGCCCACGGGACAATTGAGGCCACTGCGTAATGTTATGTGGCCCTCTACCTAACACAATGTACCACTGAGATCATAAACATAAGTTCAGTTTTATCCAGCCAACTTCAACTTTACCATTATATGGATGCTGTACCTTGTTGTAATCCATAAGAACTTGGCATACATTATTTTAAAGCTCAGAACAGGCAAAAACAGTTTTAAGATCAGTGTTGTTGGACCTGGACAATTTTGATAGTAGCTTCTGTCAGAGCTGAATTAATGGATTTATTATTCTGACTCATGTTTTTTAATCAAGTTTTAGTCACTAAAGGATGCATGTTTATTGTGATTGGTAAATGAGCCCCAACATGGAAGCTAACAATTTTAGTTAACATGCTAATGTGATGCAAACGTTTGAACTCAAAACAGTCGTCTGTGGCTCATAAATAAGTGTGGACTTTATGTGGACAAAATGTACTTTCTACACTTTAGCTGGTGCGGTTGATATAAAGGTGCGCTTAACAGTCAAGCAAGTGCTGCATGTATATTTTTGTCAAGAGTTAGGTACCACACCTTTATTTCTGTACATGATTTGTGTGAGATTGAGATAAGTTTGAAAAAGTGTCCTGTATAATGCCTTCTTTTGAGACTACATAATGGTGATGAAAATGGCTGGGAACAGGGAAAGTTGCTAAGACCATGGGAAGTATTTTGCCCCCTGCAACTGTGTTTAACTGTTGTTATTTTCACTCCCATTAAACTTGTTATTTTGTGTCCCAGGACGTGAAGCCCGGAGACGTCATGCAGAAGAGAAACATGTGGGAGGGCATGGGAGAGAGCTTTCGGCCAGGACAGAGAAAGGTTTGTCTGTTATACTAGTTATGATACATCAACATAGACACTTAATTATAAATATTTTTGCTTTACATGTACAGTATGTAAAAAGTATTAAGTGTGAACATAGTTAACACTGTATAAACTATAATTGCCAGACTATAAGCCAAGTTTTTGTTGCCTATATTGGGACGCAGTCAATGTATGTATTTTATTGGGTTAGAGCTCCCCCTGGGGTGCAGCATGCAGTGCTATCAGTTGTTGTTGTTTATGTTTATGTGAACAGCGAGAAAGAGCCGACACCAAGAGATGCAGCGAAAAATACAGGACTTTGTTTACTTTGTTTTATATTATTAGGGCTGTTGTCAGAGCAGAGTTTATATACTTATTTTGACTCCATCATCCATTGGTTAAACCTGCGGCTGATATTCAAGTGTGGCCTATTTATGGACAAAACAAATTGTGTGGTTTTAAAATGTTGGAGTTTTCATAGAGGTGTGCTTAATAGTCCAGCAAGTAATGTAAATAGTTTGCACAGTACAGTCACTATTTTGTAAAAAACTATTAAAAAATGCACTACGCAACATGAGTAATAATAACTTGTACGTATACTTGATTTTTGTGCTTTTACATACAAATTGTTCAACTGAATAGATTTAACTGACATTCGGTTTGATTTCAGGGCTCCACATCTGGCAAAAAATACAAGTTTGTCGTTGCTGGACACGGAAAATATGAGAAGAAACCTGTTGATGGCGAGACTGAAGGCGAGTTATCTGGTGGTAAGAGAGCTTAAAATCATGGTGAAGTTGTTGGCTATTAAGGATTGGATACATATATTTTTTTATATATATATATATATATATATATATATATTATATAGTATATATATATATATATATATATATATAATATATATATATATATATATATATATATATATATATATATATATATATATATATATATTGTATATTGTGTCTTGAAAGGCGCCATGAGATAAAAATGAATTCATATCATTTAAATAAATAAAACTGTCGACATGGGACGTTTTCTCCAAATTTATTTTTGAAACATTTACTCTTTCAGAGACAGGCACAGCCACATAAAAATAGTCTGACGATAGCATTTTGCACAAACTACAAAAGAGGAAAGAAAGTCTGTGCCTACTTTTCCCATCATTTCTATTCACATTCTTTACCATTACATTAGAAGACTGGTCCAAAATGTATTGTTTATTGACTACAGTATATTATTACAAAATATTATTGCACCATTAAGTCTGTCCTCAAGTTTGTTGGCAGGTTCTTACATTGAACTAGGTAGGTCAGTATAACAGATATTTATAGCACTGTCATGAAAAATGAGTAATGCATTAGATAGTTGTGTGTGAGTGAATGTTAGCAGCAGAACAAAGAAGCAACTAGAAAAGCACTCGTAGAACACAAACCTTTGCCTAGAGGCGCAGTTTCATTCCTTAAAAAAAATAATGCTGTCCAAATCCTCCCATAAATTTTTTAATAATGTTGCTTAGAGACAAACATTCTGCTGATCACTTTACCTCCTGTGCGGGGGTAATGATGCAATTTTAGCTAATTCTCCAATGCAGCTTTGAGATTCTGCAAATTGTTTGTAATAGGATAAAGTTTGGCCCTTTTACTTAAACCCAAATACTTAGATACTTCCAAAATATTGCCATTTTCCTTTTACATAATATTATTTTTCATGAAAAAACATTTAGTTGGTAATAACAAGGAACAAAGCTCTGTGTATATTTAAAACAAAACTGTTTAATCCAATGTGACGCCTTGACACATGACTATGATTGCAAGACACTTACAACTCTCCTCAACTCGCCTACAGACATGAAAACTCTACCACGCAACCACTCACGCAACATTGCAGGTAAAAATTAAGGCTGGATCCTCACAACACTCACATAGACTAAGACTGTACAATAACAACTGTATTTGTATTAAGCTTTACATTTAAATAGCATTTCCTTTGAATAGCATACACTTTCAACAACAACATTTAGCTTAAGCAGTGAACCCTCTTGCTGTTCGATTAAAGTCTTTTGGTTCCTCGTCTTTCCCTTTGCGGCCAATGAGCCCCATTTCAAACACAGTGGAAATTTTCGTCACTGGCCTGGATGCTGCCTCTCTGAGCTTCTTAGCATCAAATCGGGGGCTAAACAGTAGCACCGGCAGGCGGTGTGCAAATGAAGGGACCTCGACAGGCTCTTCCGGTTTCTCCTGCGTTTTCTCCTCTTCACTTTTGTTCATCTCAATCTGCGCCATGATATTCTCTTTAGTAGAAAACATCTGGAACAGGACAGCATTCCACATCTTTGTTGCTTTGGGGCTGTCTCTGTCTGTAGCCTGTCCCTCAACTGGTGGTTCAGCTGCAGTTTGTACTTCAGGCGGTTTGACCTCGCTACTTTTGTCCGAAACTGCTGGCTCATTTTGGCTGCCCATTTCTGGAAACCTGGGCTCCTCTTGCTCAACCACCATATGCTTCTTGAGCCTGGACCAACCACTCATCTTTGATTTCAGGCCTTTTGGCTTTTGCAAAGCTTTGAGAAGAGGCTCAGCTTTTAAGGCCCCATCTTCCTCCTTATTCTCAGTTTGAGCAGGTGGGACGGATTCTTCTTTCTTTTCACTTTTTGATTCTGATGCAGCCATTTTGATGGTTGACTTTGACTCTTTCTTTGTTTCCTCTTTCACTTCAGCTTTAGTTGTAGCTGGTGTCTCAACCAAAGCTTTCTTCTCTGCTGTTGGAGTTTTGCCAAACAATTTTCGAACCACCTTGAGTCCATCTTGGTAATCCTTTTTAGGCTGCTTAACTTCTGGGCTTTCTGTAGCAACTTCTTGAATCGGTTTTATAACTTTTTCACAGGATTTTTCAAGTTCTTTTTGAGGACGAACATTACTATCTTGAATTTCTGACTTATTTTCAACGATTATACTTGCCAGTTGTTCTTGCGTAGTTGTGGTTGGAAGTGTCTCAGACGCTTGAGTAACCACAATAGTTGGAACAGATGGAAGCTTTTTGGGTTTATCAATTGTTTGAGTACTTCGTTTTGGTCTAGGCAACTCAAAAATGACCTCCTCCTTTACAGAAAATTGTTCCTTGCTTGTTGTAGCCTCAACTTTATCCTCTACTTTAATTTCTTCTTGAGTTGAAAAGGATGTGATACCAAATGCTGGGGAAAAGGTTTTTATACCTCCGTAAGCTGCGTACTCAGCAGGCGTCAGTCCACGATAGGAAGACTTTTGACCTGCCTGCGTAGGTGTTTTGGGTCTTTGTATGCCTACGGCTGATGCGCCACTCAAGGATGTCCCATATGTGGGTGTTTTTGGTCGTTTAAATCCAGGAGCAGAACTCAACAGCCTGGATGCTTCAAATGTTGGAGTCTTTGGCCTGTGACTACTTTGAGAGGGCAAAGACGGCAATCTCTCAGTTGAAAGCGTTTCAGCTACAGGTTCCACTCTGGAAATATCCGACTCTGATTTTGACTTGACAATAACAGTTTCGGATGGTTTCACTTCAGGTATCTCTGTGTGGTGAATGTCCCCATTCGTGATAGCTTCAGAAAACATCTCTGAGATATCGCTTATAATAGATTTAGGAGTTCTGGACCTATCTTGTTCTACTGTTATGGGGGACACTGCAAAGAGTAGAGGATTGGGTCTTGACACTTCAAAAACTGGAGTTGTTGGGCGGTAAGATGGAGTTCTAGGACGTCCCAAAGATAAGCGCGAGGTCTGCTGCTCGTATGTTGTCGTTTTGACAGTTGTTTCAGTGGTGGGGGGGGCTCGTTTAGGTTCAGAGATTGGAGTAGCTCGCTTGACGTCAGCAATCGGTGTTGCCTGTTTCTCTTCGCAAACCGTTTTCTGAACTTGAGATTCTTGGGTAGAAGCAACCACTCCCACCATTGTTGGGGTCCTTCTTTGCTGCTCAATACTCATTAAGCTAGCTGTTGGTGTAACACTAATCTCAGAGCATGGGGATGGATCTCTCTTGATTCCAGTTTTAGACAGCATCATAGTCCCACCAATAGAGGTTAGAGCAGCAGTATCATACACAGGTGGAGTCCTTGAAGTCTCATAGTACGATGTACTGGCTGTGTAATTCCTAATTTGAGGGACATCAAACATTGGCTTAGGCGATCTTGACTGTTCATTGGCTTTAAAATTGGGACGAGGGCTTTTCGACTTGAGAGTGGGGTTTAACACAGTGAGTGGTCGCTTCTGTGGCAAATCTATCGAGTAAAAGCCAGGACTTGGTGCCCTTGTTGTTGCAGGAAGCGCGATGAAGGCTGGTTTTTGCACTTCTACAGCTGCTGGGTCGAGCAAGGAGGAAGCGGGCAGTGTTATTTTGGGCACTGGAGGCTGTGGGGCAGACTCTGTAACAGGTGGGGTGGAGGGGTAAGAAGGAGAAGTGAGAACGGGTGGTGTGAACAGAGGTGGCGCCACAGTTAGCGGGGACAACCCAACTCCACGTCCAAATGCAGCACGCTGGGGATAGGGTGATGCCACATGCTGGTACGACTTGACTGGTTTTACTGAAAATCTCGGGGGTTGATGGCGATAAAAGCTGTACGGTGTTTCGGGCGTTCTGGGTGGAGTTGAGGAGTGATCGCTGTGTTCCAAATCTGGACTAGCTTCGTTCACAGGGGACAGACTGGAGCGAAAGGGTGCGGCAGATTGCGAGGCCTGAGTTGCGGCTTTCTTCTTAGCGGTGCGTTTGAGGAGCTTCTGCAGCCGGGCATTGTCTTTGCCTGGCTTGGGCAGAAGAGGAGGGGGGTAGAGGTGGGCAAACAGGCCCAGCTGGGGGATGGAGGAGTAAGCAAGAGCCATGAGCGCGTCTGCACCCTGTAGAAACAACACAAGAAAGAAAAAAAACGATTAGGTCCAACCTGCAAAACATACATCTTATTTTTTGGGCGGCAGTAGCTCAGTTGGTAGAGCTTTGGCCTTCGAGCCAGAAGGTCGTGGGTTCAAGCCCCGCTCAAGACTTTCACCATCGACTCCCTCTGACTACTGTCGTTGTGTCCTTGGCAAGACACTTAACCTCTGGGAACACCAGCCACAGTGGGGCGGCTGCCGTTGTGTCCTTAGGCAAGACACTTCACCCCCATTGCCTAGAATGAGTCTGGTGTGTGTGTGAATGGTTGGTGGTGGTCGGAGGGGCCGATGGCGCATACTGGTTGCCTCGCTTCTGTCAGTGTGCCCCAAGGCAGCTGTGGCTACAGCAGTAGTTTATCACCACCGTGTATGGAGTGAATGAATAATGACACATGTGAAGCGTCTTTGAGTGTCCAGAAAAGCGCTATATAAAACCGATGCATTATTATTTCCCCTTTTGACTATTTATTTATGACTTAGAGAGTATACTATTTAACTGATTCCGATCTATTCAACAGAATCTTCTCACTTGTTGAGTTGGTAGACATTGAGACACAAAAGTAGGTTCCAAAGGAGGTTTCTTTTTCTCAAAAATGGTTAAAGTTTGCTTTTACTTAACCAAATAGCATTATATCCCTGCCCAAGTTCTGGGCTCGACTGGAGAATACTTGTACATCAAATCAAGTAACTAAAGTACCAAGGAGTTACAATTCTCCACAGGTCCTCTGGAGAGTAAAGTCTCAGACAGCCACAGAAGGTCATCCCATAAACACATATTATTTGTAGCGAGACACCTAAGTAGCTAAGTGTTACCAACAGTCCACAAACTGCATACCCTTATGTTGTGATACAAATGGAAAAGGTTTGTTACATATTCTTTTGATTTTCATTTTAGATCTATAGAACAACGACAGATTTGGACGTGATTCCCATCGGATCAGCTGAAGACATAAGAAATGGTCTAAATACTTCATTATTCACCACATCCAGTTTTCAATGATATGAAAATGTTTAAAAATATAAATTTCAACAAAAGACATTTCTTTTTGAAGTTTCTTTTATTAAAATGTTAATGTACATAATGTACCAGCTGATCTTCACTGTAATTGGTTGATCTGAGTTGGCTTTCATAGTTAATGTTTTCTATCAGGTGTGGAATGCAAGATACGATTTTATTTTTCTCTATTACCTAAAACATTGTAATTCTCTGCACTTAAGATTTTGCTTTAAACAATCTGATTTTTTGATAATGACGAGTGAAAAAGTGTGTCATTTAAAAAATAAAAAATGTATACACCTGTAAAATGTTACAAGTATGATGTTTTATACAATGTACTTTCCCAAGATATGAAACCAAATTTAAAGACAATGGAATGTTGTTACAACAATCACATTTAATTTGCAATTATGCTGTTACATGGTTGAAATAACATGTTTGTTTTCCATGTTAGTGCCTTCGGCCTCATCTGTTTAACCCAATTTTCATAAATAAATTAAACCTTTTTATATTCACATCTTTGGTCATGACTTGTCAAGGTTTCTTCACGTGGTTGCAAAAACAAGAGGGGTTTATCTCAGAAAGAGAATTGGAATTATTGCAGAGGACAATGAACATGCAGTTAATCTTGACGTGTGAACTGTGTGTAATTAATGATGGAAACTGTGGTAAACAACAAACTGTGGGTTAAAATGTGTTGCTTCACGCTCCTGTGTGATTAGATTAATCACAAGAATAAAACTGCTGACTAATTAAAATAGCCAGTTGGAAAAGTAGACACCATGTATGACAGGCGTTAGCCAAATACATTACAATACAATTACTGCCATTAGATATTTAAGATCCATATTTTTTTCTTTGTACTATGTCTATCCAAAACAAAAAGAAATGTCATGAGCATGAGCTAGTTTAGTTTCGTCAACACTTAATGATAATTGTTGAACTCAACATGGACCAAATGGGGGTCTATGTGATATGTTACCACCTCACAGCTGATCCTTGGAGCGTTTAGTAATACTAATTATAGTTAGAAAGCAGAGATGAGGTCAGCCAATCACCTGCTGCTCTTATTTAAGACGCTGCATCACCTTCCTCCATACAGTAAATCAGGAAACCACAAAGTGGATCAGGTGGAGCTTCAGACTCAAAAACAAAATCTATGACAACTTCAGGAGAGTGTGAGCTTCCTTCATGACCATAGGACTTTCCCACAGAAACAGAGCTGCAGAGTTCTTTAACACAAAATTAACACACAAAAAACACACACATTCTATCATTGAAAAATACATATTGACTGAGTCATCAAGGCTCAGTCCTATCTGCATCCTCCCTCATGAAACCTACAGATGCTGAGCCCAAAGGAGCTGGTTCTGGGGTGGGGCCCTGGCTGCACCATCACAGGCTTACAGCGATGTAACAGCCCTCTATGTTCACACTCCAGATTTTTGCACCACACTCAATCAGGACACTAGGCTACTAGGGGCCTAAATCCTCTGTTGTCAAAGCTCTAGGATCATTGGGATATGCAAACTGCCCCACCACAGTAATGTAGCCGTCCATGTGGGAGAAGGAGAGTTGAAGTCGAGAGGAGTCAGTTGAAGTGGCTCGGGCAGGGAGGATTCAGGACATTCTGAAAGCACTGTGTCTCTCAGCTGAGCTGGAAAGTTTATCCCCTAATAGCTGTAGGAAGTGTGCGTAGATAGGGAAGTCTGGGTTTATCAGCTCAGACTGCTACATCTAAAAGCTGGTAGGGGACAGTACCGCAGACAATCTGAAGAGGCTCTGGGCTGTATTGTTCCAAATCAGACTGTGGCCTGAAATGGGTGGGCCCCATACTAACAGTGCCTCAAGCAATGGATAAAACGGAAGAAAAGGGATGGAAAAAGATGATATAAACACATCACGGCAAAACAATACTTAGTGTTCCATATATTTATACAATAAATCATTAGTGTATGAAGTGTTTAGCTTCAGTAAATACAATTATGTGGCAAGGGAATTAATATTGAGTAATTACAGAACACAGGTTCAAGTATATTTCGGTAAACTTAAAATCAGTAAAATTTGCTTCTTGGCCTATTTGATTGATTTAAAGTAGTACTAGAATTTAATATGCTGCTATCCAGAATATATAACTACAATATGTGTTTATAATATTTCGGGTGTTCATTTTGACATGTTCAGATGAATTATGTTAAAAAAACGGCTTTCAAGTGGCACTTTTTCACTTCCGCATAGAAACGCTAGGGGGGGCCAAAATGGCGGCGATGACGTAGGAGGAGGGCATCTCACTGCAGCAGACAGCAGTCTGGTTGGAAACTGTAGGAGGTTTCACTGTCATCTGAACAAGGTATAAACATATTTTCATCCGTTTTGTACATAATAGTGTGCAACTCTTTTAACCTTTTAGCCTTATTTGTGAGATTCAAGCTAATTAGTGTTGGGCAAGTTAGCTAACTCTACTTGATATCATAAAACATGCTAACAAGGCTAATATTCGTTTTCACATTATGCCAGTCTCACTTTGGTTGCCTTAGATTTATTTACCACAATGTACATTGTAATATCCATAAATGCTAACACCTATTAACGGTTTAATTAGCATTTTTATCAATGATTGCATCACATGTAGTCTATGTTTTCAACTTCTGCAGCTTTTTGTTCATAAAAGTAAAATATTTATTTAATTAAAGTTATTTTGATTAGCATTTTTGAATATTACAATGTAAGTTGTGGTAAATAAATTCAAGGCAACCACAGTGAGACTGGCATAATGTAAACACGAATATTAGCCTTGTTAGCATGTTTTATGATATCAAGTAGAGTTAGCTAACTGGCCCAACACTAATTAGCTTGAATCTCACAAATAAGGCTAAAAGGTTAAAAGAGTTGCACACTATTATGTACAAAACGGATGAATATGTTTATACCTTGTTCAGATGACAGTGAAACCTCCTACAGATTCCAACCAGACTGCTGCTGCTGCTGTGAGATGCCCTTCCCCTACGTCATCGCCGCCATTTTGGCTCCCCCTAGCGTTTTTATAAAGGTGCCACTTGAAAGCCGTTTTTTAAACATAATTCATCTAAACATGTCAAAATGAACACCCGAAATATTATAAACACATATTGTAGTTATATATTCTGGATAGCAGCATATTAAATTATAGTACTACTTTAAGTAAAGATGGGCCATGGAGCATCAAAACTATACTTTGCGTCAACCAGTGAAACAATGCACAAAGTTTCAAGAGAACGATTTATGTGGATTTCCAAAATAACCAACTATTATTCCAGTCCGGTCTCTTCTGTTTCTCGCCACATAAGCCACATTTACATCGACTCAGGCCTATAGTATCTATCTGCTGAATGGTTAAAGTGAATGCAGAGCAGCTGACCCCGTGGCATCACATCCCTCTGATATTGGATACAGCCCAGAAAAAAACATTATCACTGTGGATTACCATCTAAATAACATGGACACACATCGACTTAGGAGCGAACAGCCAGCGATTATTGTTTAAGAGGGAAACTAATGCTCTGCTTTGTGCATGGGGGCTCAGGGGTTAAGGGTCGCCCACAGAGTAAACTTGTTATATGTGCTGTTCTTTTAAAGTCAAAAACTAGCTTATTTGGGATTACTGCCAGTTGCCAGGGTGTGTTCTGTGTACAGTATGTGGTGACTCTGATATGTAAGCATTTATCTGGTCTTAGGAACGGCACAAAGAGTGGTTTATGCCCAACTGCAGGTTGATTAAGTAAAATGTAGAAATATATTGTTTTCAGGTGACTAGAAAAATAAATTAAGCAAAAATAAAATAACAGCAAAATGTAGCAATACTAGTAAAAAAAAAAAACAATAAATCTACAATTGTTGGGCATATTAACAGAATGGAAGTTTAAATCTATTCTAATTCTTAATTACATGGTCTGGTCTTTTCAATGGAGGTCTTGAGTCAGCGTTTTGTCAGTACGACAATTTGAAATGTTTTGTTTATAAGAGCTTCTAAAAAAAAAATAAAAAAAAATGTTAATTCAAACATTTTGAATTAATACTAGAATAAACTCTTCAGAGCAAAGATATATTAAACATCAATTTTGGCAATTAAAATGATGAGACTAACTAAAACTAAGTAGCAGAAAATATATGGTGAAACATGTATCTGCAGGTGACTCGCTATGCTAAAACTAGAGGGGAAAGTGGAATTTGTTTCTTTTATTTTTTATTTATTGAAAATGACCAGCTGCCAAAATTTATTGGATTTTAAAAAACATAATTATAACAGATTTAGGGGAAACACTTATTTAATTATAAAATAATTATAATCTGGCTTACAATTGAATCATATGGACAGGTCTGAGAGAGGAGATTTAGGGGCGGAGTTACATTTTTGTGCCAGCAGTTCCTGATATTGCTGGTATAATGTGATAGTAAAGTTCAAGACCAGATGAGAATTTTCAATACATCTAACAGAAATAAAAAAGATATTGCTTGGAATATTATTTGGAATTTAGTTATGGGCATCAGCAAATATCGGCTATGTTGATCTCTAGTATCAGCTGACGAAACAGAATCACAATAGTAATCATCAGTAAATGTAGAGTTTGAAGCTCGTGCCACTAGTTTAAGATCATTTTACATATGCTATCAGTAGTGAAGATGTTTTCTACCAGTGCCAACTCTCTAGTATCAAGCATCTGAGCTAACCGCTTTCAATTGAGAAAAAATTGCCTGAACGGTTATTTCACGTCATCTAAAAACAACTGAAGATCTGTTTTTTGGGGCGTGGAACCATGATGCACCAAGGTTGAAAGCTAAGGAAAGTCAATTGCAACCTATGCAAGTATTTTGCACTGGTCCCAGACATAATGCTGCCGTGTTTAGCCAACTGCTTAATGTTATCAGTTTTCTCTCTGTGTCACCTCATGGAAATGTAGGCCAGATCTGGCTGTGTTTTAAAATGTCCTCCTGCTTCGAAACCACTGCCTGACACACGAGAACCTGCTCCTCCATTTAAGGCTGTGGTAGGCTCGGTATGTAGAGCGTCTTTGGGATGCAGGTTCAAAAGAGGAAAGGGTAAGAATAGCTAGCGTAATAAAGCTGCACAGGCCTCTCGATCTACAATAGTCAACCAATCCAGCCCCAAAAAATCTGCTTATCAGTAATCACGTGATGGATCAAGAGGGGAGGAACTCACCAGGTAAAAAACTTGAGTTACGGATGTTTGAAGCAGCCCAGGCAGGTACCCCTTTAAAAAGAGATGGAGATGATAAAGGAGATTAGTGTCATATTCCACTCGATATTTAGGCATTCATACAGTCGATCATGTTATAGAAGTAATATGGTTAGCATGGGGAATAAGTGGTTTGCTGGCATGCTGAGCTAAACCAATTATGAGCTAAACATAGATGCTAGTTGTTTCATATTAAGTGCTCAATACAACCCAAACAGCCCCCCCAACATGTCTGTCCTATCAATGCCCCAGTGGTGCTCCTGCTAAAGTCATAGCTGCCATGTTTTTTTTCTTCTCAAGACCGCATCCATCTCCGCAACGCACTATTTCATCTAACAAATATGTATTTTCAGGGGACTTACCTGTACGTTTGCTGCGTAGGGGCGGCCGGCCGGCTGCTGCCTGCTTGTCCCAGCCCGAAGTGTTAGTACGGCAGGTTCATGTTGAGCCCAACTAGACCCCCCTTCACACAAATGGAAGGACTGGACGCCATGGCAGTCCAAAAATAAACCGTGAGGGGGCCTGGGCCAGCAGAGAGAGGCGACACGCAGCAGCGACAGGCCACAGAAACTTGGGTTACAGCAGCTCAACGGCTAAAACTAAAAGTGAGGCCAGTCAGGGCAATGCAAGGGTGGGCTAAGACTGAGGAGGGGTGAGAAGGGATCTGTTTTTGATATTGACAGTGTTGAAACGAGGAAGTGCATGTTAGCTTTGGACATTAAATTACCTAAACTTCAATTCAATTTAATGTATTTTCGGCCTAAATCTCAATAACAGTCGTTTTGGAGGACTTTACTAAGTTGTTGACAATGGATCAGACAATCCAACAGTTTGATCACAGGAAATGTAATAACAACAAACACAGAGTTGCCATTGGTCCATGAGGTGCGGGATGACAAATACTGTTAATAAATGTACATAAATTCCCCGAATCATCGCTGACCCTCCAGCGGAATCCACTCCGAGGTATCAACTCCAACAGACAGACAGGAGTCAGGCTGTGAAAAAGGGCAGAGGGCTGTGCGGTGCAAGACAAAAGAGGCTCCCAGACTGTGTCCCAAATTTTAGGCAAATTTCTCTTCAGGCCTCCTTGACTTCCTTTGCAGCTCAGATCTTAGATTTTAGATATTATGTGTTTTTTGTATTTTACTGTTGTGTGCAGTTTGTCAGCTATTCTCTCCTTTATATTTTTAAATTTTATATTTATTATGATTGTTTTACCATTTTTACTTACCTGTTTTCCTTTTTTACTGTTTTTTACTTTATGCTGACTGGGCAGCCCTTTAAACAATGTTTTTGAACAAATAAAGATGTATTATTATCATTATTGTGTGTTTTCCAACTTGTGTTCATGTGCTTTTGTCACGGCATCTTGTAAGGGCACGGTCACACAGGTTTTACAAACCATCTAGGCCAAGTGGCCTGTGGCTCGTCGCCACAGGGGTGTGAAGCACAACCCGCAGTCACAAGAGCTTCTTCACGCAGCCGTGCCAGAGAAACTGTGCTGTAGTACGGTCCAGCTGGTGGCGCTAATACTAACTTCAGCCATTACATTCTGCTACTGTACGAGTATACGAGCGCTGAGAAACGAATGAATGAGAATGAAAGAATGGAAAGTGTTGCGTACGAGCAGAGCGACCAGAGCCAGGCAGGATACAAGTGAATGTTGGTGTGTTCCGGTGATTAAATAAAGACTGATTCTTGTTTTTGCAACAGCACCACACTGTGAGAGCGAGGGTCTGGACAGAAGGGAGTTATTCTCGTAGGAAACGCTTCCCTTTGGCCCTACATCGACACACCCCCCCTGCGCCCCTCGACCACGGTACGGGGGATTAAATGAACAACGTAATGTGACGCACAATATCAAGTCCCCCACAGTGACCCCCCTCATCTGGGCTTTACAAGCGTGCTCTGGCCCAAGTCTCTAAACGTGCCTGAGCAAGGTTGCAGCAATCGTGCCCGAGCCCACATGCCGCGGTCACATAGCACCTAAAGCCTGGATCTAATCCTGAAGTGGGCCCTGGCACACTTAAAACGGGCTTTAGGCTGTGCATGTGACCGCAGCCTAATTTTGATGTGACCAATAATAAAAATGGAAACACAGTTAACCTGTCAGACAACTGCTTGTTAGTCTAATTTTTAGCATTTGTTTGCATCCACCATCTATACTTCATCAAGATAACCATAGCGTTAATTCAACAGTAATATCGAGATGTTTCAGTTGCACTTATCTATTGCTTCACTGATCAGATACAAGACTCAGATGGGAGTTCACATGTTGAAGGTCGTGGATTCGAGCCCACCATGGGACCTACTCCAACTGTTCTCACAAATGTCTATTGTTGTTGTGTCCTTGGGCAGGACACTTAACCCCACGTTGCCTGAAGCGCCTGCTGAAAGAACAAGGCTGCGTCAAGAAGCCATCTTCCCGCAGCCTGCAGGAGGATCAGCGAGGGACTGATGCTATGGGCATTGGGTGGCAGCTCTCATTGCCACCCCCCAACCCTGAAATGGACTAATAAAGTGAAAATGAATGAATGAATAAATACAAAATAAAAAAATTTAATAAAATATCTGTGGTTCTTCTTCATTCTTTGTGGCACTACCCGAATTTGAAAGCCAGATCCCATCAGACCTCTGAAGTTGAGTAGGTCGGGGCCTGCTCTGTGATGGGAGACCTCTGGGAACACCAGTGGTGGGGGTTTAAAGTGGACAAAGTTTTGCTCCAACTCGCTCTGGCTCAGTAACCGTTTGTGTTCACTATGTTGGACTTTTAAAACATCTGTACAAGCATCCTGGTGTTTATATTGTGATATTGTATTGACCAATCAGCTTCCTTAGCAACCTTAATACTGCCACTTAATACTACTTAATACGGCACGAAGCCAATGTTGGTGGAGTTAAGTTCCTAATAATCTTCTTAAATCGCCTTCTTCCACATTTGGCAAGCACTATGGTGACATCAGATCTTGGTCAGTCCACGCTTAATATGCAGTCTATGATCTGCTTTGTGATGAGTGAATTGGTGGTGGTCAGAAAGGATGATGGCAAAAACTGGTTTCCTCACGCCCTTCAGTCTGCACCAAGGCAGCGGGTACAGTAGTAGTTTACTTCCACCGTGTGTGGAGTGACTAAATAATGCCATGTGAAGCGTCCAAAAAAATATTCTTATTGGAATAACATACCGAACAGCGGAAATATTAGAATAATTGTCAATTAATCTATTAAATGATTAAACTGTATTCCTCCCACAGTGGAAACATTTCAGAATACAAAAGGAGGAAATAAGAGCACTCAGATTGCACAAAAAAAACAGGATCTAATATATAAGATAATAGATAATAAAAATGAAAAAATGAAAATGAAACTCTGTAGCTATAATTGCATTTAAGAATTCAAAAGGACAGATGTTGTAAAGGTTCCTGGCTCACAGCTGCTATTTATTTAGTTAGTAATAAAATAAACGTGTTACTCCATTAGGACCACATGAGGGCAAAACAATCATACTTAACCCTATTCTTCTTATTTTCTTCAGTTCTCCGCGGCTACAGCCACAAAGACCAGCTAACTGCTCTACCACATCCTGGAGCGAAGGGCCATGGCCTGGGACTATTTGTGGCTTTGAGCTGGAAACATCTGACACCTCCACTCCATGAGGCTACCCCGCGGGCTCCCTGCAGGTTTAAATCTGTCATTGTAGCGCCCTCTAGAGGACGGAAATAAATCGCTTCGCGCACAGTTGGAAGAAGCAGCAGAGAGGAGTCTCCTAAATTAATGAGGGGTAGAGGTGAGCTATATGAAACCTGCTGCGGCTTATTTGGATTGGCAACAGATCTGAGGAGTCCACACAGGTTAATCCAGAAGGTGTTGGACATTTAACCTGATCTTTAGGACAATCATGGTCTTTAAGATACTTAAAGCTGGGGGACTTAAGTTTTTACGTTACCTATGTAATACATGCTGTGGTTTGTCCCAACAGAAAGAGATTTTGAGAAACAAATCAGACTACAACTTGCTGTCTGTCTATTAGAAATCATGTTATCTTTTTCACACTTGAAAGAAAGATTCCTGTGAGTATTTATTTGGAACTTTGGACTGAGAGCTGATTGGCTGAAAGAGGGTGGTCTTCTCTATTTCACTTTTCTGACTGAAAAAAGCTGATCTAAAAAGTTGTGACAGAGGCCAAAAATACATGCATGTGAAAACTAGTGAGAGTACCAAACCGTTTTTGAGAGCAAAGACCGAGTCACAGTAGATTGGTCGTACAGTTAAGATGTTTTTCGGTTTTGAAATTTGTGTACCCCTGCTTTAAACGACGCAGCTCTTCCACTATTTTGTACAAGATGTTTATGTCTATACCCCAGCACCTGCTTTGCTCCAAGACGCCTTCAGCTCTTCTCTCGCTCCCTGGAGAAAATGTGCTTGCCTAATGCAGCACTCCCAGAATAGCATCCCTACAGAGGAGCAGAGGGAGGGTGGGCATCTTGGCTTCCCCCTTTCTCCAAAACTTGACCCACCTCAAAGCCCGTCTCTTTGCATCTCCTTTTTTGAGTGCCGGCAAAAAATGGTGGTGGTGGGGGGTAGGGTAGGGCCCCGAGTCAGTGCCCCCCGGATGCGCCCTCGTCCAATGGCGTGGTGGAGGGTATCGGATGTCACTATAACAGAAGGACATAATCAGCGCGGTAAGTTTGCAGAACCTTACAGCCTGTCTCGGCCAACAGGGAGCTCACTTCTTTCAGCTTTTCTGAGGTAAGGAAGAATAGACTGGCGTGTGGTGGCTTCATTTTCGCATATATTCCCCATCAATTATTTTAAAGTAGTGTCCCAAAAAGTGCATGTTAGAATCACTGTCCCAGCTAAAAAAAACAAAACAAAAAACAAGCTTCTATGCTCAAGAGTGTGATGTGACATGATTAATTTTTCTAAATGCAATAATAATAAAACAAGTGAGTGTCATTTGCATAGCAGTCATAGTTGTCTAGTCTTCCAGCTATGCAAATTGTCGCGTCTAAATAACAAGCGCCTAGGATTTCTGCAGCTGCCACCGTACGGGCGCCTTGTTCTGTTTTCTGTGCCCGGTTTTGGTCGGCCTCCAGCGGTCCATACCTGTGGGATTTACAAACGGCTTATGGCCTTTTGAAGTGGCTTTCCGCTGGAGGAGACAGAAGATGACACTAATAAGTTATGCAATGGGGCAAGAACAGCAGACGCAGGCTGTGAAGTGATTGTTGACGGTGGCTTTGAGTTGGAGACTGTGGGCATTGCTTAAAGTTTCAGGCATTGTAATGGATTAACAGATTATCGTCTTGACAGGAAGCCAAGAATCTTAACCAGGCAAATGATTGGTTTTGCTTCTTCGGCATATTGGTTAAAAAACTCCACAAACTAACAGCCTCTCGGACATCTCATACCCGATTTGAGTTTTATTTTAACTCTCAGTCAGAGAGGTGGTATGCCGAATTGATTGAAGGACCCATGTGAGGGTGACACAGCCAGATAAGGACATGGAGGTGGAATTATGGGTGGTGGTCCAAAGGCGAAGGGGAACCCAATATTCCGATACTGAAATCGGAGCCGAGGCCTTTGCAGCTGCCTTTTGGAAATAGTTTTGATGTCCCAAGCTAATGCTGCTAATGGCCACCAAAGCAAGCATTTAATCACTGACAGATTTGATTCTGGATAAACCTGGGCCTTGTACAGTATTCTTATCATTGAGCAATCGGCCTGTTGTTAGCGGAGGTGAAAGCAATAAACATTCATGGGACAGTAATTACACATATACTTGTGGTTTTTGGCCAATTTGACTCTATCTTTATAGATTCTTTCACTCAATTCATCAGTTCTGTGATGTGGTATAAACAATATGGTCATTATGTGCGAATTATTACTTAATATTGTATTTATGTTTTGCTCTAGCTTCATATATTGACTGGTTGTATATCTAACTGGTTAATTGAACATAAATTCCAATAATACCCAATCATGGCCTTTGAAATGACCCCTAAAAAACCTCTTTTTAACTATTGGTTAATCTCTGCTTCCCCTCTCTGTGGGTCTGTGTCTAAGTTGGGCTACTCTTCTCACTTATCATTGGTGAAGCAGTTTCTTGTAGGGGTTGACATTTTAACATTCAAACAAACACATTTGCAATATAATACTATTATTCTAATTATTCTAGTAAATAAGTAAGCCATCTGCTAAGTAAAGTTTTTGGTACTATTTGTATTATTTGTAGATTTTTTTATGAACTGTGGGGTTGTAGGAGATATGTCAAAGCCAGTGGGGTGAGGTATGCCCAGGGTGGGGTCAGCAGTAGACATTTAAGACATTCGAAACATAAACCCGGTCTATAAATACATACTTGGCTGCTTACTTTCTTCTTGCAGGGAGACTTTAAGTTCTTTTCCTCTCTCGTCCCTCCAGGTTGTAAAGTCCACTGTCACCATGTCTGACACAGAAGAAGTGTGAGTATTATACAATTATAATACAAATATTCACATTGTGAAATATGTATTTTAATATGTACCAATTGTGTTTTACAGCGATCAGGGTAAGTACCTCCTTTACATTAATATCAAATCAAAACAGCATTCTTGAAGTTTTTGTACAACCAGGAGGAACAATCTAGTCTCCAGTGATGTCAGTGTGAATCTGTATATCTAGTTTTTCACCTTTTACAACGTGTACAGAGAGGGTAAAGTGGTATGTCCGCAGGTTTGGCTTGACTCCTTTAGATTCTTCTGTGCGAACCATGTTTCTCCCAAAGCAAATCTGCACATACTGGATGTTACTATGCTGCTGTCGCATGGCTGCAGGCGGTATCATTGACAATAAGACAATGCTATATTTGCAGTAATTGAAATAGACAGATGAAAATACAGCAATGTCTAGTTTTCAATTACACCTGCAGCTCTGCATGACCCTTTGCAAAGTGCAGTCCTCCAGAGCCCGTGATGAGGACTTTAAATGGTGGAAATGGTGACATTTGGCATGTATTACAAATTCCCGGAGCTCTGGGGACTGTGACGTGTTTGCTTAGCATGGATCCCAGTGTACCCAGCTTTTGCTCTGATGGAGAGTCAAAAATGGGTACAAATGGGATCTCGTTGGTAATGCTGTTTCCTTTTTTTCTCGGACGGACGTGAAGATTACGATGGTAAGACACATCTTGAAGACTCCAAGTCATATTCACACTATTGACAGTTTTAAAGTGTGTTCTTCTTACCCCAAACCAACGTGTGAGGCATGCCTCTTGACTAACCAGGACGTACCGAAGACAGTATAGTTAGGACAAAGACTTTTCTCCCTGCTCTCTTCAGATCATCAATGTTTGACATTTCACATGTTCAATAACTGCTTGCTCTTTACCTGCTCTAGCGCCATCTGGTGGCGGTGGCCCACACTGCTCCAATCTGCATAATGTCCATAGCCTGTATAATCTCCCTCTGACCCTCATGTATAACCATATACTCATGCTGCATGTTTAGCTGTAGAAGAGGAGGTAGTAGAGGAGGAAGTGGAAGTAGAAGTGGCCCCTGAAGTGGCCCCTGAGGCCGAGGCAGAGCCAGAACCAGAACCTGAACCAGAGGTAGAACCCGAGCCAGAACCCGAGCCAGAACCCGAGCCAGAACCCGAGGCTGAGCCCGAGCCCGAGCCCGAGCCTGAAGGTATGTGGCACCAGGGGAGGAGGGGTATTCTATCATCCTTAAACCACAGACAGGTGCGCTCCAGCGGCTACAGCAGCCAGACATGCTAATGCTAAGGCTACCTTCCCTTCACCTCTGACTGAAGAAAAAATCGTCAATAAATAACTAAAGTATTTATTCCACAGTTACAGCATGACTAATCACAAGGCGAAAAAAGTAAAATAAACGTCTAGCTAATACATGTTGCAGTATTGTTACTCGTATCTGTATCACTTCACCCAGCATATATGATCACCCTATCAAACTATTACATTGAAGATAATTTGATACATAAATGCTTTGCTACACATTGCAATAGTGGGCCTAACTAATAATACCAGACATACAGTGTGCAGCTTGGTGTCTTTGTATGGCACTGTCATTTCCTTGCTTCCTCTGTATGTCCTCTGCTAATGGATAACTGAATCCAGGTCTACACTGCTAGATTAGAGTCAAACAAACAGCCCACAGTTAAACTCCCCATGTTGGCCTCCTTCAGTGTATGTCTGACGCTTATCTGTGTACCGTCCATGAATGCCAGCTGACCTATTCTGGTTTGGCTTTAAATTGAACTACAATAGAGCATACAGTAATGGCTTTAAGCGGCCTCTCAGCATGCTGTTCAATTGATTAGTTGATCATGTACTTTTCAGTTGTCTTATACTGCCATGTGTCTGGTCTACATTCTCTATCCACATGTTATCTGACCCTTTGTGATGAGAATATATCATCCAATGGCATGCGGATACTTCAGCCATTTTGCTTTAGTCCTAAGTTATGTATCTCAAATAGTTGCTGGTTCTAACACAGTCTTTATAATGACTTTGTTTAGTATGTGTGCAGCCTTTCAATGATTAGTAACCAGATTGGTTTGCTCATGTTGAACCTGGCAACTATCTGAGCAGTGTATTTGACTGTAGACCTGACTGTCAGCTTGTGTGCCTGCTAACTCTTGTTATTCTGCTCTGTTCTCGATGCTTGCTGCATGCAGAGGCCCTTGAAGAGGAAGGTATGTTGATCCCTAATGAGACTCTGATTTTTGGGGGACCACAGTGTCCTGGTCTATGTCTGTACTGTACTGGGGAACACCTGCTGTTTTCAAAATGTCTGTCCAAATTTTATCTGTTGTCCAACTCCAGGAGCGCATTTGGAGAATTTAAATCATTTCAATTGTATAACTTTATATACGATTTACAAATATGAAAAGGGTGAAAGAATAACATATGCTTTACTGCAGTGACCCCACCACTTAACTCTGCCACATGGAGCGCCTGCATGGCATGAACCGCAGGAATCTGGCTCTTCTGAGAAACAATACGCAATAATACCTTGTCTTGCTTGTTTTAAATGATTTCGGGGTCAAGCCAACAAAAACTATTAAGTCCAATGCAATGTACAGGGAGGAATCGAAACCACAACATAACAGGACTCAGACCGTACCTTCACTCACAGCAAGACGTTTTGTCCGATCCTTATCTTGTTATAACTCCTCTTTTTTAATGTCTTTTTTGACTGTTCTCTAATTGATATTTTTCTAACGATAACTTTGGATAATCTGTTTTGTTTTGGATAACTTTGTTTAAGTATAATCCTTGTAATGACTGACCGAAATGCTATAATCTTCAGTGTTTCTAACTCCAAAACATGTACTTGTCCTTTCTTCATTTTTAACTTGCAGAGGAGAAGCCAAAGTTCAAGTAAGTCCCATTTATAGTCCTCACTAAAATGGAATAATCTGTATTAATTCTAAGTTGATGCATTTGTTATGTTTAACTAAAGAACTGTACCTGTGTCTTAGGCCTAGCGCTCCCAAAATCCCTGATGGTGAGAAAGTGGACTTTGATGTAAGTGTGTGAATACTGTAGACCTTTGATTTTGACGACTGGATCTGACGGTTCGTTGTTGTGTGGTGCAGGACATCCAGAAGAAACGTCAGAACAAGGATCTGGTCGAGCTGCAGGCCCTGATCGATCAGCACTTTGAATGCAGGAAGAAGGAGGAGGAGGAGCTCATCGCCCTCAAGGAGAGAATTGTGAGTTTGTAGCATAGACTGTATATAGATGGAAAATGCTAACCCGCTAGCTCAATGCAGCCCAATAGAGAAGTGCTCACGGATGAAATGGGACCGAAGCAAAATAAATCCTCCTATATGCATATGCTATAGACAAAACAAATACTTTAATATCTATATAGAAAGTTTTGAATGGTTATTGACATTTATTCAAATGCTATCCACTTGTGGGCAACAGTAGCTCAGTTGGTAGAGCATTGGCCTCAAGGCCTGAAGGTCGCAGGTTCAATTCCCACCTCTACACCTTCTCCACCGACTCCCACTGATGACTGCTGTTGTTGTGTCCTTGGGCAAGACACTTAACCCCACTTTGCCCAAAAGCCGCCACTGAAAGATCAAGGCTATGCTCACACTCAGAGAGCAGCTGTCCTCCTGTGGACTCACCACCTGCAGAGGGTCAGTGAGGGGCTGGTGCTATGAGACTTGGGTGGCATCTCTGACTGCCACCCCCCTGACCCAGAAATGGATTAAAGGGTAGAAAATGGATGGTTAGATGGCTATCCACCTGACTTGGCTTGTATATTTACACCTGGCATGAATTAACTTATTTCAGAAATTGAATGTGAAACATACACAATGTGGAGCCTTGAAACTTTATAAGTGGAAGAGTTATACAAATAATATAACAGAAATATAGGTTTAAGACATATGTAGGGAAACAATTGTGGAAAGCCGGGTTAGTGTAAATACATGGTTATTGCTGTACTCAGTTATTTTAATATGATGTGACAATGTGTTTGTATTGCGGTGTTCCAGGAGAAGCGTCGTGCTGAGAGGGCTGAGCAGCAGAGGGTCCGTGCTGAGAAGGAGAAGGAGCGCCAGATCAAGCGGGAGGTCTGTCATCAGCGGAGACAACACGTGGAGACAACAACAAAGAACCATTAAAGTCACTCATACTGTTATTACACATGTGGATTTCAGGAGGAGAGGCGGGTCAGAGAGGAGACTGATCAGAAGAAGAAGGCCGATGAGGAGGCTAAGAAGAAATCCGCTCTGTCCAACATGGGCTCCAACTACAGCAGCCATTTGCAGAAAGTGAGCAGCACGCAGCACCACATTTAGTCCATTTATGAACCAACAAGGAATCAGTCAAAATAGAGATGGACGACTGCTTTAACTGGACACAACATGATTAACGAAGAGGTGTTGGCTTGTTATGGACACAGCTTGGTAAACAAAGCAATACAATCAGAGGATGCAGACATTCACTTACTTTAGCATGTTGCTAACCCAAACAGTTAGCTTCCATGACTCATTAACACATGCCTTTTTCTGTATCTTTACGTAGTTTATTTTTGTCATTATTTTTATGAAATTATCTTAGATTTTTGACATGTGAGTAGTTTTTTCCACCAGAGAATGTCAAGTGCTAGTTATCATAGCAACACTGTCAGAGGTTAGCATTACCCGTTTTTGATGTATTTAAGTTATAGTGACCAGTTTTTCGCACTTATTATAAGTGAGCAAAGGTAAAAGCCCTTTAAATTATCAATTATTTTTGTTTTATAAATCTGGTGAAAAACAAAACAATCTTTGGTGGAATTTCTCAGAATTCTATTGGTTTGAATGGAGCAGTTTAAATGAGGACTCTGGTTATCACTAGAACTCCCAATCTATTTTTGAGAAAAAAACAGACATCAGCCCTACTCTAAAGTTAAAAGGTACAGGCAGCAGTGTTCAAGGAAAAAGAAAAAAGTTGCAGCTCATAGTTCAGTAATCACGACACTCCTAAGGTTTTTATTAATGCAACCTTCCCATCTGCAAACAGGCTGACCAGAAGAGAGGAGGCAAGAAAGAGACCGAGAGAGAGAAGAAGAAGAAGATCCTGGCCGCCAGACGCAAGGCTCTCAACATTGACCATCTGAACGAGGACAAACTCAAGTACGAACGCTCTTGTTATATATTTACGATACCGAAAACTTATATTCAGGAAAGCTCAGTGTGTGGGGCCACGTTATGTGCACACTAACGTCTTTTCCACCGTCACAACACAGGGACAAGATCACTGAGCTGCATGACTGGATGCGTGAGCTGGAGTCCGAGAAGTTCGACCACATGGAGAGACTGAAAAGGCAGAAGTATGAGGTGAGGATGGCCGTCAATGAATGTAAAAACTACTGTACTTAGCGACCAACTCCCAACTGACCGTTGCAAAAATCCACTTTCGTATCCATAGTGACAGGTTTTATTTCATTATGTCTTGTCCATTCATTCATTTCCATCCCCTTTATTGGTCCATTTCTGGGAATCTGAGCTACCACCCATTTCTCAAAGCACCATATATGTTAAGTTTATATTTTATAGTTCTAGAAATATGCAATTTTGATTAACTTGTTGTATTTTTATGCCTAGTTTGTTGAAACAGAATGGAGTTACAACAATGCGGTAACATTACCTGGTCTGGATGCTTGTTAATATACTTTCATAAATATCACTTCTTTCTTCTACGTAACCAACAATAACATTTAGTCTTTTCACTCACACAGTTAACAAAACATTCACTTTCAGATGTCTCCGTCCTTCTCCTTTTAGCTCCCCAGAGATGGTTTTCCTCCAGCCGGTCCAGCCTGTGTTTTTTTATTTCTTTGTTTTCTCTTGTGTTTTGTTGAATGGCGAATGTGCTCTTTGGTCCCCAGGTCACAACTCTGCGTAAGAGAGTGGAGGAGCTCAGTAAATTGTAAGTAGAGCAGGGAGCTTTGCCCAGCCGCGGCCCGCTGCATGAGGCTAGCAGCAGTTGGTCCGGAGGCGCCCACGACCCCAGAGACCACAGACACACCACTGCTATCGAGTCTCAGGGTTGACTTTCATTTACAAGGAGACAAAACATTCCACCACAATTTTCTATAAACGCTTTTGTTCTGTTCAATTCTGAAATGGACTCAACTTGCGGCAAATGTATGGAACATGATTCAGATTCAGATTCATTTATTTGCCATTTGCAGTAAAACCACATTGGAAAAACTGTGCAAGACTACCCCGGTGTGCACCAGACAGAGAAGACGACACACACCAGAGCTCTTGCTCTTGACGTGTTTTGGATCCTTACTAAACTGATTTCTTATTCCATATTTGTTGTATAATATTAATAATCATCATCATCATAATCATCCTCATCATTATAATTATCCTCATCATCATTATCATCATCATACTACTAATAATAATAAGAAAACCACTTTCGATAATACCACCAAAATTATACTACTTCTACTACTACTAATATAAGACAATACTACTACTACTACTAAGCCAGTAATAATAATATACATATTTTTTATCATATTTTGCATCTTTCAAGGAAACCTTAAAGCGCTAAAGATTTTATTTGTTTTAATAAAAAATATGATGCCCATTTAACAAAATATACCAAATTAAGGTCCGACATTGCATTAATTTATTTAAATCATTTTCATTTGTCACTGTCCTTAGACCCTCATTCATCGGCAAGAAATAACAAAACACTAACGCTCTCATTTAAAATCCTAAGCCTTTAGATCTGTTTGCTTACAGTCAACCTCCATCCCAGGGCTGCATACTTGTATACAGATACGCACTTTACAATTTCTTTTTAACTAAAATCACAAAAGGAGTGGTGTGTCTGGTTGTCTGGCCGTGCAGGTAAGTCAGCTCGAGTTGCGGCTTCACGCTTAAGCTGCGTTTGTTTCCGAGTTTTTGCTTTTTTTTCCCCTGGCCTTCGCAAATGCACTAGGATAGGCACCTCCTGTTGGCGACGAGAGCAGCCGATGACCCCCACCGTCGTCGAGGTAACGCTGTGTCCGCTGTTAAAACGGCTGCTGTGTCATTTCCAGGTGCTCACATACAGGAAACGCATTGATGAGTGGCAGAAGCAGTAAGTACAGAGCGCCACCAGAAATAACGACGACGTTTTTTAACTCCAGTCGACTCACTTCACTCACTTCGCCATTATACCCAAAACTCTATTTACTCCAAGTGGAATTTCAATCTCTAACCGTAACAAATACCACTTTCTGGGATTGTACATAGACTGTATATCGATGGACAACGTTATGCCTCATCTCGTTCTAGCTCCCATTGGTAAAAGTAAACTCCTCTCGCTCAGTAACCGTTTGCGTCACACTCACTTTTAAAAGTCTGTGGTTTAATTCTCTCTTTAATCCTGGGGTTTATATTTGGTCATATATAAATCCTGATATTAGCCATATATAAGAATTGACCAGCCCTCATGGCAACACATCTGCCCCTGTTAAGAGACAAAGCTAAAGCCATCGAAAATAATGCCCGTATAAGGAATTCAGTTCTAGCTAGCTTATGTTAGATCCAGCTTTTTCCGCATTAAGGCTAACACTATATGGTGACGTCAACACTAGGTCAGTCCACTTCTAATATACAGTCTATGAGATTCTGTAATTTCTAGAATTTACTGACCAATTTCACATGGAATTGACAATTGGAGCTTTAACTAAAATTATAGCCGTTTTTTATACAGCAAAGTCCTCATCACTTCTCACGATGACTAAAGCTCCAACGTGTCAATGGGTTGATCAAGATGTATTGTATTTCCCAAACATCTTGTGTTTTTTTTCAATTTCATTACTAAATATTTTTATATGTACAGTATATACTTTTTTATACTCTCACAATGTTTTTATAAGCCGTGTCCATTTCAACTCATGTCAGTAACATTAAAGACTAGGTGGACCGGGTAATATGTCGGTCTGTTCAGGTAAGTTGTGCTTGGCTGCATGCATGTTGCATTGCATGGTTTTTAGTTGATTATCTTGAAGTACGTCATCAATTGTAATAGCTGTAATTTAATGTCATTATTTTTAAAACATATCTGTAAATGAGTCCCAACATAGGAGCTAACTGTTAAGGTAAACATGCTAAAATGAGCCAATGTATACCGCCTCAGAGTTCAATTTTGTTATTTACCTTAACCATTGTTGTCAAACGATTTATTATATTTATATTGATATATTAATGGGAAGGGTCCAGCGGCCGCATAGAAACGTGACTAGGGCCGCATGTGACCTCTAGCCTGCAGTTTGCCCCATGTCTGCTATAGAGTATATACTGAAAGTGTTTCGACCCTGATATATTTAAGTGAATAAAACCAAAATTACCGCTAATCCCAAATTAAATAAACTCAATTACCAAGATTTACACCGATTGCATTATTAAGCTTAATCCATAACGGGTCAACACTGCGTTAAAACACCTCACAGTTTCCTAAGGCTTATATTCAAGTGCGGCCTATATGTGGACAAGATTTACTTAATTTATTTTTTGTTTTCACAACATTTAGTGACATGTTAGTTGTGAGCACCTAAAGCCTCCTTCCTGTTCTTTCCGTGCATCTGACGTGTCTTTTTTTCCCACCTCTCCGCATAACAGCAGCAAGAAGGGAGCCGCCGCCCGCCGCAGAAAGTAAAAAGGAAGTCCCCTCTCGTCTTCAGAAACCAAACTCGCGACCATCTCGAACACGCGCCTGACAAAGCATCGCATACAGTGGCCGAGGCCATCACCCAGAAGGCGGCCGTGAAGCTGAGGTTCAGCCTGCAAACCCCAGCCCAGACCCAACCCGCACATGCCGACAAGAGCACTCAGCGGCTCGTGTTATCTGTGTCGTGGGAGGGAATGGGTTTACCGCGCTTTCTCGCCTCCACTGTTTGGTTCTCAGTATTTTTGTAAATAAAGTGTGACTCTCCCAGCCATGTCTGTAGATCTGTTGTCATTCAGAAATCAATAAAGATCAGTATTTTTAGACATGTAATTTTACGGTCTTTTGTTCCACATTGTTTCTGACCACAAGAGGTGTAGAAGCGCGTGAATTAGGATAAGAAAATATGCTATCAGTGACAGATTAAAAAGAATTAATGTTTATCAAAGAGCATTTAAATTGAATACAATATTAACAGTAAAGAATATATTTTGGATTACGTTTAAATTTTGACATTTACTGGGTGGTCATGGTCAGGAGCATATGTCAAAGTAATTATCCCTTTGTGAAGTGAGAGGTGTGTCTGACAAGAGGGGGAGATGACATTATTGAGTTCTATTACAATGACATTATTGAAACATTTCAGTTTGTTGAATACACATCAAGGCATACATCATATTATTACTTCCATGCTCCTTATAAGCAAAGTGGCGTAAAGTGCCCAGTAGGAGTCAGTGCTGAAGGTCTCGCTGTAGGCTCGAACCCAGGCTCAAAGGCCAATGCTTTACCAACTGAGTCACTGTGCTCAGGAAACAGATTTGCAGATTCACACACAACAGTGAATAGCGTATGATGAAGAAAGGAGGATGATCGATGAAAAATCTAAACAAGAACCCCCGGCTCTTTATACAAGAACATATTAGGATGAATATAAATGAAATGAGAAAGGGAATTGGAAATGTGGGCTTATTATTTTCATCACATTGGGATATTGTTATATTGGAGGGGCGTTCCTGGTTTCATGTGGTTACCATTTAAAATGTACTTAAAAGCTATTGGAGGTTGATATTAGGACTTTATTGTCTTATTTTTCAATGACAATGTAAAATCTAGTTCTGATGTTGAAATCAAAGTTTTAGTAGTAAAATATGCTCATCATTGATCATATCCAAGAATGTTGTGTCTATATTGTTAGACCTTTAGAAAAAGAATTTTCATATGTTATGTTTTTCAATGCATATGGAAATGGGCAGGCGTTGATGGTTTAAATCAGCGGTTGCAGTTGTAGTTAGGTTATAATCCTTTTTGATCTTTTCTGAGAGTTTTGTGCATGAACTGTATACAATATAATGAAAAACTATTGAGCTTGTGAGCTAGAGAGCCAACAAAAGACAGATATACAAAACTTCAGCCAGATAGAGACTTTTAAAAAAGTGCAATATGTAGTAAAACATTTTTTTAATTTTTTTTAACATTCACATTTATTGTGTGTAAATGTGAATGTATTGGAGTTGGAAAATAATTACCTTATGTTACAACAGATTTGGCCGGTATTTGTCTGTATAAAAGCCAAGGTGAATCTTATGTAACTAAAATGTGTAAAGTCCACCTTTTTGTGAGGCGGAGCAAAAGACAGTAGTGGTAGTACTGAGACGTGTGTGTGTGTGTGTGTGTGTGTGTGCGCGTGTGTTTATGTGCGTGTGTGTGTGTCTGCTCTCTGCTCTCACCATGTCGTTGTCTCTGGTTCTTCTGGGGATATGTCTCTGCATATTTACTATTCTGCTCAGGTCTCGAAGACCCAAAAACTTCCCACCTGGACCCCCTCCTCTGCCTTTCCTTGGGAATGTACTCAGCTTGAGCCTTGACAACCCTCTGAAGTACTTTGAATCGGTATGTTACCTACTGATCAATACCTTTGTTTTGCCTGTGTTCTCAGAGCTCAGGAGGAGATAGACCCTGAAGGAAAACTGACCTTAATCCACATTGTTTAGGGCTCTATTACACACTTTTTTTAAATGTCCCTCATTTGTAACAAACAATATTTTTGGTCTGAGTCACTACAGAAAGACAGAAGATTAATAATGTTAATTCTATGCAGATTTATTGTTATAATAAACAATTACAGTACATATGTACACTATGCTGCCATTTATCTTTCCATTCAAACAACCATTTACAGAAAAATATGGCATAATTTTGTCGATAGTTTGAAATGCGATTAATTACGATTAATACATTTTTAAGCTGTAATTAACTCGGTTAAAATTTTTAATTGTTTGACAGCCATATTTAAAACATGTGCATTTTTCTGCCCATTTCCAGTTGAGGAAGACCTATGGGAATGTGTACAGCCTGTACCTTGGACCCAGAGCTACTGTGGTGGTGAGTGGGACCCAGGCTCTAAAGGAGGCTCTGGTGAACAGGGCAGTGGACTTTGCTGGGCGGCCTCAGGACATGTTTGTCAATGCACTTGTGGCAGATAAAGGTGATGTCATTATTGTTATTATTATCATGTTTTCAGTTTCAATATCATCGTTGCGCCTCTTGAGTTACATAGATTTATTGACATGTATTAAGCTATATCCTTGGTACTAATAATAAGTGGGGACGACTAATAAAACCACTGAAAACAGTGTAAGTGTAATATGCGTGGATGCGTGAAATGCGAGTATCATCCGTGGCAAAACCTTTGCTGTTTGTTATGTTCTGTAAGTGGGTAGTGGGCTGTGGTGCGTATGATGGTCAGGATGAAAACCTTTTGTGTATAAAGTTAAATCAAACAAAAGTCACTCTGGTCCCAGGACGTGGCTGAGACCAGAGTGACCGAGGGCTGGAGGGATAGAGCAGGCCAACAACACCTGCTGCATTTAAGGTCTGCGCAGTTCTCAGCCAGCCAATCAGGGAGGAGCTAAAAAAGAAGACACGGTATCAAGGAAGAAGGCGCACGCCCGGGCACGTCACGTGTGACGTGTCATGTTTGTATTTATGCAAACTAGTTATAAGGATATGTTCATGTGAAAAGCTGCAGGTCTGATGCACCTATATTTGAAGCAGGATATTCAAGAGATATATTGCCACAGATAAATATGCTTATAAGTTATTCTTCTGGTGAACAGTTTTTCTATGTGTGCAGTGCATTGTGGGATGCACAGGAAAGTCTTTTTTTATGTTAAATAGGGAAATTGTTCCTTCTTATAGTTTCAGAATTCAATTCAGACTGGAAAATTGCTTTGGCTCGGTGCAACAGTCAAAGAAGAGTAAAGATTAGAGTTTAGCATAATAAGCATACACATCTAAGGTATACAACTTTAAATACAATTATTGCAATTACTGTTACTATTTACAATATACAAGTGCACACAATATGCAGTAATATGCAGTGCAATAAGGTGACAGCAGTAAAGTGACGTTATGATGGGCTGTAGAGTAATTAATTCCACCAAATAGTAAAACATGTGGACAAGTGGACAATCACTTCTACAAACTGGAGCTCAGTTTACTTTGCATACAAATATTTTGAAATTCTTAGAACTTGAGCCTCCTGTGAGGAGTCTATGAATAACTTACCATCATTGTGTGCAGGAGTCATTTTCGCTGATTATGGTCACAAATGGAAGGAGCATCGTCGCTTTTCTTTGATGACAATGAGAAACTTTGGTTTGGGAAAGCAGTCGATGGAGCAAAGGATTCTGGGAGAACTGCAGTACACCATCAATCAGCTGCAGAAAAATCCAGGTTTGTTAATGATATGAAAAAGTCTTGATTTCTGTGGACTGAGGCATCTGTTTCCAGAGAGAAAGAAAGGTTTCCAGAGTTCTCTACTTGGCTCTTTTTTCCACACTTTAGAACAGTAAAGATATTCAATTCATAAAGAATTATTCACAGAATGTTTACGGTTCATGGCAATAGTCAGAGTTTTGGTACATCTTTCCCATGTAGATTTATGCTAAAATGTTTATTTTATTTTGTATAGCCCAAATAACAGCACTCATCTCAAAGGACATCACAAAGTTGTTGATTCGCCAACAACAAGTTCAAAGAACTAAACCGTTCAATCACAGGGAATGCAGTGATAACAAACGATTGGTCCATAGGGAGCGGGATGACAAATGATCATGAATGTTAATGTGACCGTGCCATTGAAATATACCAATTAAACTAAGGAGACTCAAATTGTCAGTATTACAACAATAACATTTCAAACATTTATTTCATGCAAGTATTAAAAATAGTGTATTCAAATGGTTTAAAAAACAGTTTAAAACCATGCAGTGCAAGTTAGATTCACAGCAAGACCATGCAAAAGAGGGGTGGGGTCGAATACAAATTATTTTAGCCCGATATATGAATAAACATTTACAGGATAAAACAGTGGCCGGCTTGAAGTGCCGTGTTCGGATTCACTGTAACAAGAACAATATTTAAGAACAATCACAGAAACATTTAAAATTAGCTCTTGCACAAAAATAGTTTACCTGTAACAATGCAAAACAAAATTCTTTCCAGACACGTGGGATAGAGAGGCCTGCATGTAACTTAACCTTTGACTCTCCAGATACCCCTCCCAAACATGGCTAACACCACATGAAGCTGTGGACTCTCCTCATGGCTCAGCTGCCCGCTGCATGGAGTGGGTTGAGTGAAAGGCCCTGATTTCCCTCTCTCTCCTTTTTGAAACTTTTGCCACTCCCACCATTTCCTGTTTCCTGTTGCCCTGTCACATTAATAAATATCCATAAATGTACATAAATGTCTGGGATCGTCACTGTCCTCTGACCCCCTTGAATCAGCGAGGAACGACTCAAAAAACAAGCCAGAATAAAAAAAAAAAATAGTGATTTTGAACTACAATACTAGTGGGGTAATGGGGCTGTTGCGCTCCAGTGTCTGGGAACATCTGTCTGAGATGAGCCGTGCACAGTGTTGCTGCTGCTAAAAGACTGTCAGACCACTGTCTCTCTCCTTTCATTCAGGGAAAACGCTGAAAGCTCAAGTCATGTTCCACAACATGGCCTCGAACATCATCTGCCTCGTTCTGTTTGGGAAACGATTTGAATATGATGATGAGTTCATAATCAAATATGTGGCACATTTCACTGAACTGGGCCGGATGGTGAATGGACCATGGGCTTTTGTGAGTGGCCTCTTTTGGAATGACAGTGGTCCCTCGCTACATCGTTGATCACCTTTTGCTGCCTCGCTGTGTCGCAAACTTTTTGTCAGCAATTTAGCATGCTTTTTTTAAAGCGTACTTCTCATCCTCTAACAACATTATAAAACCACTAGTGTAACATGACAGTTACTTATATTTAAAGTTGGAAGAAAACTTTTGCGGCTCGTGTGCTCCGCTGTGATTAGTTCAGAGGACTACCGCGGTCTTCCCGTAGCCCTCAGTCCTGCTCCTGCCCCTCAGTGCACTGTCCTCTGCAGCTGTATTTTACAGTGTATGCACAGCTTTTGACAGCTGCTGCAGCGCTCAGACCAAAAACAAACAGGTGTGATATCTTTGCGATCGTAGACCAGCAGTAGTTAGTTCAAGTGGTTAAAAACAGCTTGAAACATACACCTTCTGCAGATTTAGATTATTGCGATGAACAAGGGGCCACTGTACACACAAACGTCTGTCCGTGTTGTGAGAGCCAGTGTTTTCTTGCAGATCTATGACAGTTTTCACTGTGTTCGAAACTTACCTTTACCATTCAACAAAGGCTTTGAGATCTTAAAGGTACCTAAATATGATTCATATGATGAATAGTTTTTGTATTATTTCATTGAGTCTTTGTTGTCTCGTTCATGTGTCACATAGGGATTGACAGGCATGACTTCCTCCATAATAAATGATCAACAGAAGAGCAGGGTGCCGGGGCAACCTCGGAATTTTGTCGAATGCTATTTGGATGAACTGGAAAAGGTGAAAATATTGCACTCAATGTAATCAAATAAATGCATTAGTAAAAACTGATTCTTTCTGGTGAGAGCACAGCACAGCAAAAATTACAGGCTTTGAATGCAGAGTTTTAGAGTGAGGACAATAGGTAAGCAGCTCAAACCAAATGACAAAGACCAAAATCATTTCATAATTTGAGACGTAAGTTTGAGGCACACAAACATAGATATTGTGTACTTTTTACAAAAAAGTTGACATTAAACCTCTTCCATGAGAGGGAGACTCAGTTCAAATGAACATACAGAATGGGACCCAGCACTGACCGTTTATTATGAGTGGACTGACCAAATGCTGATGTCATCATAGTGTTAGCCTTAATGCAGAAGAAGCCATTTTTAACAAGAGCCAATTTCCTCATATAGACTTCAGACGGCGTTAGCTTGAGCCAAAGGTCAGCACTGTCCGTCTATAAACAGTATATAAGTAATAACTGAACCCAGTACCCATCTTGATTTTTGTTTTTTAATCAAATATTTATTTTTCACAGAAAGTCGATCAGGGAACAACTTTTTCTTCAGAAGAACTATTGATGTCTTGCATCAATCTACACGCTGCTGGTACAGACACCACATCCAACACTCTGCTCACTGGATTTCTCTACATCATGACCAAGCCTCACATTCAGGGTAAGAGCAAGTGCAGTTTTACCGGACATTATATTTCTGAGTAGAGTATGTCCCCTTCCCTGATCCTAACGTTCAGAGCAATGGTAAGAGTAATGGTATCATCCCAGTGTTAGCCTTATTGCAGAAGAGACCGTTTTGAACATAAACTAGCTGGGGCCGATTCCCTTATATGGGCATTTGTTCTGCGGCGTTAGCTTCACGGCATAATCGAAGCAGACGAGTTTCTAAGATGGAGTTTCCCCCGCAAATGAAGCCATCTGATTGGTCAAGCTTTAGAACAGTTTCCCTCTCTCTGCCTTCAGTAGTGTTTGTTGACTCCTTCAATTGTTTATATACACTAGTTATGGTTGTATGTTTGTGTATTTTTGAAGCGCTTTGTGACCCTGGATATGAAATGTACTGAATGACTATCTATCTTACCTATTTGCTTTCTTCCCAGAGCGCTGTCATGAGGAGATAGACCGAGTGCTGGAGGGGAAGGACTCTGTTACTTTTGAAGACAGACACAACATGCCTTATGTCCAGGTAAAGCTATATTATGCTGGTATTTTATGTGCATGCAAACGGTTACAAAATGTGTTTTTACCCAATTTTTTGTCATTTGCAAATATCTTCCTATTGGATAATTGAAAAATCATTTGCCAGGGGTTAGGTCATGATGGTTGAGGCTTGACAGAGACCAAGTTACATGGTTCTATTAAAGCAACAGTATGTAGCGGTGTTGGGTGGAAGTTCAAACAATCCATCCATCCATTTTCTTGCCCTTAAAGGGGACATATCATGAAAAATCCACTTTTTGTGCCTTAAATGCCTTATGTTGTGTAGTTGGAGCCTCTAGAAGTGCAAAAAAGTTGAAATCAGTCTCTTCATGGGTTGCAGAGAACACTTCATATTCTATTTAGGTAAGATTTTTCAACCCGTTCTGATTTTGCCATTCTCTATTACGTGTTTAGAATTATTACGTCACAGTATTTGCAGCGAGACTGCTATATAAGGGCATGGGCGTCTAACAAAACACTTCGGCCCAACCCTCCTCTACTGCGCATCACTTCGAATTTGTAGTCCAAGCTCAAGGATGCCAGCGAACAGGGCTGGACTGGCCACCGGGCGTACCGGGCAATGCCCAAAGGGCTGATGCCCATATTTGGGCCGGTCTGTCTGCCTCATATAAAACACATGTTTATGAAAAGTGTAAATCCGTTGAGAATTGTTCGAGCGGGGCGCGCGTATCCGCGGGGCACCTCCTGTATGTACTCGAGCGGGATTCCGCCACCTCAGCGGCCGCAGTGTTCCGGGGCATCTGCGGCCGCTTTGTAATGAGCAGCTTCCGCGTCCAGCGGCTGCGAGAGGCTGTGAGCGTCCAGCCGCTCGCAGCCGCTCGCAGCCGCTCCACCGTATTGTGGCTGAGCGCGCAGCCTCAACGTGGCCATGTACCCAACCCCATAAACGCGCACAGGACCATGCGTGTCTTTGAGTAATCTGTGCACCCAATAAATTCACTGCTGCAGGAAACAGTCCGCGTCTCCCTCTCCTCTCGAAGCGCGATTAAACGCCCTAAATAAAGCTCTGATACCTATATTTTGCATTGCATTAAAGGTTGATGTATGAGCCCAAAAGTAATATGTTGTGAACAAATTAAACAGATTTAGAGCCAGCAAATGGCTGACAATATGCATTTCAGTCTTTTTTGACCAATTCTCACCCCTGTAACAAACAATAGTGTTGTCTGTGTCCACCTCCTTCACTCTGAGACATGTTTATTACTCTCTTGTAATGCAGACTATTGCATTTTATTTTATTGTTGAAACTGCACATATCCTGATCCTCTACAGTATTTGCTTCCACATACTGTATAAACTAGGAGTCGGCAACCTGCGGCTCCGGAGGCGCATGCGTCTTTTTCCTTCTGTAGAAGGAAAAACGTTCTTAACGTTTTTAAATGCTGTAAAATTGTTCATAAGTAATATTCAATTAAAACATTTCTGTCAATGTGTCTGTCAAACCGGCGTGTGAGCATCATAGACTGTGCGCATTGATCCCAAAGCTAAAAAGAGAAGAGTCGATAATAAGACTGGACTAAGAATGAAAACTAACATTTGCTTTCAGTCTATGAGGAAGGACTGCTTCATGTTTGCGATGTAATGAGAAGTTTCTATGAGATAATTGTATCTGTGCTTAGAAACTACCAAAATGGCCGCTCGGGGTGGAGTTGAACCTGTGTCACCTGGATGGGGGTGTGGTCAAAAGCGCCTCATTTGCATTTAAAGAGACAGCACCAAAACAGGTTGCTCTCAGACGCACCTCAGAACAGGTGTAGAAGAAAGGCCCGTGGAGCTACAAATAATGAGACTCAGACCCAGGCATTGCAGTTACGCTTTATATAGGCCACAAATTAATGATTTAGATGTAAAAATCTATTATTTGAAAACACGATATGTCCACTTTAATCCATTTCTGAGTTGGGGGTTGACAGTCAGAACTGCGCCCAATTCAGAGATCACAGCGCAGTTCAAACCATCATAATTAATAGTGCAGCCCCCTGACCAAGATGATTGAATTGAATAATAAGATAATAAACTAAGTCACTTGTGGAGGATATACAGCAGAATTCAGAAGCAGTCATGAGGTTTCACATTTACAGATGGTTGGTATTGTAATTTTACAGCTGGGAATAGGTCCAGACTAAACTAAATTTGCCTCTGTTTCCGTATCAGGCTGTGGCACATGAGAGTCAGAGAGTGGCCGACACTGTTCCTCTGAGTGTTTTTCATGCCACCACCAAAGACACGGAGCTGATGGGGTACTCCATTCCCAAGGCAAGTACAACTCACCGTTCATGGGGTCAGTGAATGAGAGTGTAGGTCTTTCTAGCAGATGAGACAATGTAAGTGTATTCTATCAACTCTATGGTCTCCAATGTGTGTACCCAGAACGTTTCCAGTCTCTTAAGTCTGTCTCTGCCTTTTGGGTCTTTGAAAAATGAATTTAACATAAGCCAATTTCCTTATATGGGCATCTTTTCCGATACGGTTGGTATCATGCAGTAACAAGGAGATGTTGCTAGAGTTTCCCCCATGAATGAAGGCCTCTGATTGGTCAATCTTTATTAGGCTCAAATCTGGATGTTCACAGGCAACATCAAAATGAAAAACCGATGCAAACGGTTACTGAGGGAGAGGAGTTTACTTTTCAATGTAAGTGAAAAAGAGCCAGAGTCAAGACGGGTCCCAGAACGGAGCTAGAGCAGACCGAGTTTGCTGCAGAAAAGAGTTGATTCAAAGAAAACCAATGGATTTCAAAATGATAACAGTTCATGATAAAAAAAAAAAAAAAGGACAACAAAATTCCCACAAAATCATGTCTAGTGCGGCTCGGTGCACTTGACCACTGCGCTTGTCTCTCCACTTCACATGACGTGAGCAGTGTATTTGGACCGTAAGACTGTACACGATTTCATCAGAGTCTTCCCCTTTAAGTTTTCTGGGACAGTGCATGGACAGTCACCAACCATTTATACTCTCCCCTTGCTGTGCTCTTTTTTGTTCTCAGAACACTTTAATCATCCCCAACCTGTCCTCAGCGCTCAGTGAGGAAGGACAGTGGAAGTTTCCTCATGAATTCAACCCTGAAAACTTTCTCAACGACAAAGGGGAGTTTGTCAAACCGGACGCCTTCTTGCCTTTCTCTGCAGGTAAGGCACAAAACAAAAACAATTAGATCACTTGTGTCCAAACCTTTTGGTAAGAGGACCTTTTTTGGTGAACCAGACTTGTCCAGGGGCCGACAACACTGATTGTGTCAAGGGTGGGGAAAAGGAACTTTGATTTTGATTTACAATCTAATGTCTGTGTTTGCAGCCAGTAATTTTCAAATTTAAAAATTCATCTAGTTTCTCTCTCTAGTGGTAGAATAGTGATAGGGCAGGCCAAAGTATTTTTATATCCTTGTTCCATTTAGTGTTTCTTACTGAAGATTTAATTTCATATTCTATGAGATGAAATGACAATGGATGAATTTTAATTGACCAAATATATATATACTTTGGTATGCAGGTCCTCGGGTGTGTATGGGGGAAAGCCTGGCCCGTATGGAGCTCTTCCTCATCCTGGTGACTCTTCTGAGGAGGTTTCAGTTCGTTTGGCCTGAGGACGCAGGAGAGCCGGACTATGAGCTGGTGTTTGGGATCACTGTGTCTCCAAAGCCTTACAGCATGAAGGTGGAGCTGAGGCCGGAGCTGAGGCCTGAGCTGTGAACACTCACTCGACGTTTGTTCAATAAAAGCTGTGATAAACCTTTTTGTAAATGCTGCTCATTCTGGTCTTATGGGCCCCTCAAAATGTGTGTTGACATCATGTATGGCTCAAAACTTTTTAACACCCTCAGGGCACCATCCCGATTGTCTAAGAGGTGGCAGCCTCCTGCTATAGGCCTGCCTTTTCTTCAGCAGGGACAGCGAAGAATAAATATGTATGAGAATGGACAGAGCCAAAAATAAGCTCATTTTGGAGAAACAGCTTTGGTAGCTGATGGGCAATTACCTTGAACGTAAAGCCACTACTAAAATTAAATGGTTAAAAAGAAGGGTGTGAACTACAAAAGCACATACAATCAAGTATATAGTGTATACAATCAAGTAAGTAGTGTATACAATTTAACATACAAAATGATTTAAAAGCAGTGCAGGTTTAGAGGTTCCCGGGTTCTTTGACGTTTGGGTCACGATGCTGTTCTCTCTCTCTTTCTGTCCATACACACACGTTTATGCACTGCCACATTCAGAAAGAAACATTCAGTCTCTAGATGTGCAAAACATGTAGAGTCAAGCGCCGAAAGACTGCATAAATAGATAGATACTTTATTGATCCATGTAGGAGACATTCAGGTGTCCAGCAGCAGAAGACTCATCCAGGTTTGCTGAACAGTCTGACAGCCGAAGGAACAAAGAATCTCTTGAAACGTTCCGTTCGGCAGCATACTGATAGGAGCTTGTTGCTACGGTTACTCCTCTGAGCGACCACAGTGTCCTGGTCGGCACCAGATCATGTACGGCATTGGGACAAAAGCGGAAGTAACAATTCTTTCGAATTAGTTTTAGAAACCCCACTTTGCCTGAAGCTCCTACTGAAAGATCTCAGCTCCTGTGGACTCACCACCTGCAGGAGGATCAGTGAGGGGCTGGTGCTCTGTGTGCTGGGTGCAGCTCTGACTGCCACCCCCCGACCCAGAAATGGATTAAGGGGAAGAAAATGGATGGATAGTTTTAGATTAATAAGTCCTTAAGTGGTGACTGGTTAAGTTTTAGGTGTCTGAGTAAGATTGTTAAGGTTAGGGTTAAGGCTGGGTTGGGGTTATTCTTCTATGGGAATGGCTGATTAAGTTGTAGGCATGAATAGGTATGATCTAGTGCTGACCATAGTATCATGCAGAGGGTGTCTGGAGTTACCCAGGATGCCCTGCCTTAGAGTCCTTCTCTACAGCACAGCCCCCAGAGTCTACACTTCTCCACATCACAGAGACACATTTCCTGATCAGGATGTCGAGCCGGTTACTGTCTCTCGAGATCCGACTACCGCCAAACGCAACCCCGAAGAACACGGCACTAGCTAAAACAGACGGGTAAAATATGCGCAACATCTGCCTGCTCACATCAGAGGACCTCAGTCTACTCAGGAAGAAAATTCAAAATACACTAATTCTGCTTTGTTTTGAAATGTGGTGATAACATGATAAAAAGTGCAAATGTTCAAGTTGAAGATTTACAAAGATGTCAATCACCCTCAACTTATCCCAATGTGACCCACCAGAGACAATATTTACCCACCACTCTCACACTATATGCCTCTATTTGAAACCAGAGACAAGGTTCAATACTCCACCCGTGAATACATTGAGTATTCACGCTCTCTCGTTCAGCATGATTGAGTCTGTCCTGGTTCTGGGGATATGTCTCTGTATATGTATGTTTTATCTCAGGTCTCGCAGGCCAGAAAACTTCCCTCCTGGACCTATGCCGCTGCCATTTATAGGAAATGCACTCAACTTAGCCGTGGAGAATCCTTTGGGCTACCTTGAAATGGTTTGTCAGCTGTTTTATTTTTATTTTTTATTGTATTTCTTTGGCTTTTGGGTTGGAGAATTTTTTGATTGGTACAAAATACGTGATGGATTTAAATGGTTTGTTTCCAGTTGAGGAAGACCTACGGGAACGTGTACAGTCTGTACATTTGACCCAGAGATGCTTTGGTGGTGAGTGGGGCGCAGGCTCTAAAGGAGGCACTGGTGAACAGGGCAGTGGACTTCGCTGGACGACCTCAGGACATGTTCATGAATGATATCACAGAGAGAAGAGGTTGTAGCTGTTTTTTTAAATGTAAATGTATTTCACAACCATTATTAGTCGAGCAGTCAAATAATGTGCTTTCTCTAGACCAGGACTGGACAAAATGTATTTTCAGAGTAATGTAATACAGACAAGGCTAAAAATCTATCTCGGGCCACACACTAGCCAATACCATGAAGCGATTTGTCCACATAGTTCCAACTATGTCTAGTTTTACTTTCACACATAACTTGAACAGAGCAACCAGACCTAGGAAGACATATTTTGCTAATTGAGCTTTTCTCTTTGTCAATTCAATTCAAAGAAAACAATCCCCTCTAGTGGTAGCATAGGGAGCTACTGGAGGATTTCTTTCCTTTCCTTCTTGTTTCAACATGTATTTGATTCTGAGAGTATTATTTCACTTTCTAAATCATGAAATGACAAAATAAACAGTTTTTAATGGTGAAAAATAATGTGTAGTATTTCTTGTCTCTTTGGTGCAGGACTCATTTTTGTTGACTATTGCCCCGCCTGGAAGGAGCATCGACGCTTTGCTTTGATGACCACGAGAAACTTTGGTTTGGGCAAGCAGTCTATGGAGCAGAGGATTCTGGGAGAATCACAGTACACCACGAATCAACTAGAAGAAAACTCAGGTCTGGGTTCTGAACGAAGTGACCATTACCAAAAAAAAGCTTGATTTGTTATCATCAAACTCTTAAGCCTATTACAGTAATAACAGATATGCATTGAATGTTTTTTTCAGTAAAATCTGTAAAACTCTTTCACGGCCATAATAAAGATAAAATTTGCCTATTTCAAGCCAATTTTTACCTGCCTTTTTGCAGTGTTGGTGAGCTACTTGAAAACGGGTCTATATCTGCGGATACATTACAAAAAAATGCCAATGGGTTAAGCCAATGGGACATGCAAAATCATCTTGTTTTAAAAAGATAAAAGACTTTTCTCCCTTGGAATGAGAAAAAGAAGCAACAGTTATTGTTATAAGACTAAATAGCTTTGTCCCGTTGGCAAATCTTCTTTTAAGATAAGAAAGACTGTACGCAAATCAGGATTAAAAAAAACGCTCAATTCAAGCCATTATTACCTCATCTTTTATCATTTTTTGCAGTGTGGATCCTGACTTTGGAACCACAAATGTAATCGTAGTTTTCAGCGCAGGTCAAACTGTGAGCGCTCACGTTATGTTTCACAACATCGCCTCCAACGTGATGAGCCAAGTCCTGCTGAACAAACGCTTCAAATACAACGACGAGTTCACCAGAAAGTATGTGGACAGTTTCATCACCGTGAACAACATGATATATGGACGTTGGAGTTTTGTGAGTTCCACCACTTTTACATTTACTGTATCTTTTTTATGGAAAATGCTCTATCATCATTTGTACGTCTTCTTGCAGCTGTATGACACTTTTCACTGGGTTCGCTATTTGCCTTTTACCATTCAAAAAAGGATTCAGTGCCATCCAGGTACGCTCTACTGTACATCAGGGCTGTTCAACTGGGTCCTCAAAAGGCCGGTGTGGCTGCAGGTTTTCTTTCCAAGCAGGAGCACACCAGCCTCCACCCGTTTCCTGTGAGTGCAGTCTTGACCTGGTGATGTGCTCCTGCTTGGTTGGACTGAAAACCTGCTGTCCTTGCTATGGATCATTCAATACTACGGTACTACAATTATAAACGGTACTATTATACTACGGTCACGGTGCATGAGTCAACACATACTAGAGTGATATTATTTTTTTTTTTAAATCAATTGAGCTTTTAATATGTTACATTTTTCCTCATCTGTCACAACCTAGAGTAGGAGTGTGACGATATATCGATATCGTGATGTATCTTGATACTTTCTCAAGCAATCGATTATCAATATGCTTTTGCCAAGTATCGATTTTTTGTTTTTATTTGTATCAATACTTAATATATGGCTACATTACGCATCTCCATTCCATTTATCATGAATAAAGTGTATTTTTTCACTTAAAATTTTTCTTTTATTTATGCCAATATGTGCTGTATTTGAATCCAGAGTTGAGAATTAGTTTCAGACTGCTTTACTAAAAGATTTCTATAACAGTGTATTTTTGACCAATATATCGATAATTGTCATATCGTGATATAACACTGGGTAACAAAAAAATATTTGTTGAAAATAGTCCAGGGTTTTCCAGCTGAATTAGACTAATTTTGACGCTCTGAGTCCGAAAATGACCTTGGTTTTGCTCAATCAGGTCAGGATTTTTTTGCTACAGAAATATTTTTTTAAAATTTCAAAACAAATTTCTGCGGATCATCAGCTGAGAAACCCTTGACGTTTTTTCAGTTTTCCTCAAGAAATAAAAGTCAACGTATCCAAAGTCATTCCGTTTTTATTTACTCCATCAACTTTGATAAGCAGAATTCATAATAACGTAGACGTGCGTGATCCGTAACACTATGGCTGTATCTCAAAAAGTTGACCTGATAGAGCAAAATGCATGTGATATTCGGACTCAGAACACCAAAATTAGTTGAGAATCAGTTGAGAAACCCCTGACCATTTTTTGGCTGTCAACTTGTGTAATCTTTATTGTGAGCTTTGTATTGCGTATCGTATCGTGAGGTACCCTGAGGTTCCCACCCCTAACCTAGAGTCATTTTTAGATCCATCCACGCTGATATCAGGAACCTCTGTCACCAACATATAACTCCGCCCCTTCTGTCTAAAAGCTCCTGTCTCAGTTCTGTGATAGATTGATGTCATTGTAACACTATGACACCACACTCAGCAGTTTTCTGTCGTTTTAAACAAAAGTATTGTCCAAAAACAGATCGCGGCAAGCAAAAAAAAATCAGGCAAAATGACATTGTTTACAATCACATGTCTGTGTTTGCAACTGTTAATATTGTAATTTAGGGATAAAAACAAAATTAACTAAAGACCTCCCCCTGGTGGCAGCATAGGGAGTTACAGGTGGAACGCATTTATTTTACACTTCATACCTCACACCATATATTTTCTTCTTTCAATATCATTTCACATCCTAAAACATGAAATGACAAAGTAAACAGTCTCATTATTATTTTACTGGCCAAAAATAATGCATAATATTTATTCTTTAACACTTTTTTTTTGCTTTTTGTGCCGTAGACATTAAAAAGCATGACCTCCTCTGTCATAAGTGAGCATAAGGAGACCAGAGTTCCGGGACAGCCTCGGGACTTCGTGGACTGCTACTTGGACGAAATGGACAAGGTTTGTTTTTCATCAATCTTTGAGTTACACATATTTTTCGGGCGCTCGTCGCTCTACGTTGGCATGTAGTGATCTTTGTCAAAACCTTTCTCCAGAGAGTTCACACATCTTTTTGTCCAGAAGAGCTGTTGATGTCTTGTATCAATCTTCACACTGCTGGGAGTGACACCGCTTCCAACACTTTGCTCACTGGCTTCCTCTACCTCATGACCAGGCCTCACATCCAGGGTAAGACCATCTACTACCACGAGGTGCATGAATGCCAAAAATAATGGTTTAATGATTATAATAAATAGAAATCCACCAGACTGTATATATTAATGGACGTAGTCACACCTATGTCCGCCGTTCTATCTAATGGGCCAAAAATTGGGCTCTCGTGGAGTGATTCAAAATGGCCGCGGGGGCTGGAAAATTTGAAAAAACACATCTGCGCATGCGTCAGCCGGCACGAGCTCCTTTCATTTAAAGGACTGACTTCAAAAATTCACAGCGAGTGTGGGAAAGTGAACTTTTAATAAGGACTTTTAACTGCTTTTATTTGTGTGCTGTGTTTTGTGTTTTTATATTTTTAATGCATGGATTTTAATCACAGTTCCTTGGACACTTCCCCTAATCACCCGCACCTGTTTTAATCAAGACCTTTTAATTGGGGGCGGGCACTGCAGGACAGGGGAGAAGAACGGGAAGAGAGCAGAGGAGAGCCAGACGAGAGCCAGGGGAGAGCCAGGGGAGAGGATGAGGACACGGGACCGGGCCAAGGACGAGCACCGCCAGCCAGAGACCACGGGGCACTGAGGCCAGCGGGCAGAGCGGCACCGGTGAGGGGGCGCGCATTGATAGCGCACTGGCACGTGCGCGCCCGGGCTATGCCCACCGAAGACCGGGATGTGCCGGCTCTTCCCCGCGGGTGCCCGGTGGCGACCCGTGGTCTGCAAGGGGCTGGCGGGACTGCAGCCCGGTCCCGGGACGGAGAAGGGCCTGGAGGGAACCGAGGCCAGGGAGGACACCGGTGCCCAGCGGACTACGGGTTTTATCATGATTTTAATGGACCTTTTGTAAATATTTTATTAAATTTTATCCCCTTTTTATCCAGTTTCCCTTTTTATGATCACACCCCCTCAACAGACACTTTTAAACCTGTGACACGAGTAAACTAGAATGGTCCAAAAAAATCCACCCCCCTCAGCATTGACACACATGTGGAACGGAGCTTTGGGCCAAGAGACAACTCTTGGACCATCCTGTAAAGACGTTTTCGAGAGGTAAGAAGATGCTATATGTTAGCATTGGCTAATTCTTATCCTGGGTTCACCCCCATTGCAGCATGTCAGCGCACATGACAGCAAACTTGACAATACGATGAACCAGCAACAAGGGGAGAGGAATACAGGTACAACAGACACAAGTAACAATCAACAAGGAAACAGGACAGGAAGTACAACCAAAATGAACCTACAGAACTTATGTCAAAATGAAAAAAACACATTTTTAAAAATATAAATATACTTGATTGTGTCATCTTTATTAGTTCACACTTTTTTCCCATGTTATCTACAGAAAAACAAGACACATTTTCTTTTCTTTTATCATTTTTTTTCCTACTTTGCACCCCCTTGTGGCAAAAAAGAAAACACAAACAACTAAAACAAAGCAAAAATGAACAAATTTAAAGCACAAACAAACAAGGACTACCAACCGGGACGAGGGGGCTGCTTTACTCTCACACACCTGGAATTCTGTCCTGAGGAAGTTGGACTGCAGATAGCGCTGTCTGCCTCCCTCTTGTGGTAGAAAGACAGCACTAGGTGTGATAAAAACAAAACAAATAGAGAATCAGCTTGTTTAATAGAATTTCTTGACTGTTTTCATGAAATCTTTTGTTGTAACTGTACCACTGTTTGTTAGAGAGTCTGTGGTCCTGATAGACTTTTGAAAATCGTGTTAATCTAAATGATAATACTTATCTGGTAACGCTGGACATACAGAGTTTGTTGACTATTTTAAAGGAGGATTTGTCCATAAAAGATTAAGCAAAAAGTGGCTTTACCTGATTGTTTTTGTTTGACAAAGTGAGTTTATGGGATGTTTTTCCTGGATCTGCTGTAGTCTGTTCTCCAGCTTGGGGTCACTGTCCTTACTGCTACAACCTCCACGGGCGACACTGTCACCTTTACCTTCAGGTCGCCGCAGTCGCCCCACTGTGGCACCTGGTGTTTCCAAGAGGTCTCCCATCACAGTACTAACCAGACACTGTCATGCTTTGCTTCAGAGCTCTGACAGGATCTGGCTTCCACATGCAGTTATGGCCACAATATACCAGTTATTTGTTCATGGCTCTATATGATTTCTCTCCCAGCCTCTTACACAAGACTAGCCACAGACACAATAAGCAGTCAGTAAAGTTAGCAAAACAGAATCATTCACCGTTTAAGAGCTTTTCCCCATTCATTCATCCTCATTCTGTTGCCTTTGGAACACACACCAAGCCACGCAACGCCCCTGCTGATCCTCACCCCTCACATTCTTACCACTCCTTTAGATTTCCCCTTTATAACACAAGCAGTCACAAACAGTGGAGGTGGGGCCTAACCAACCCTTTTGACAACATTCCCAGCTCCTCTCTCCTCTCTCCCCTCTCTGACCCGGTTTGACTGCATCATCCAGGCTCCTCGCTCCTATCTGACCATGTTGATCGCCGTCCTGCTGCTGGTGATATGCGTGTTCTTCGTCATCACACTCCTGAAGTCTGGAAGACCCAAAAACTTCCCCCCCGGACCCACTCCGCTTCCCCTTTTGGGAAACATACACAATTTGAGCCCGACAAACCCGATGAAGGACATGGAGAAGGTATGGGAATACATGTAATTTTGTATATATGTGTGTTTTTAATCCAAATCTTTCATACATTTTAATGCATTGTTAGTTTATTAGAAAGTTGTGATGGAAATAGGCTTGTTTCTAGGAAGTTTCCTGTTTACATTTGCCTTGCAGACTTGCTTTTCAATCTCTGCTATGGGTTCTCTGCAGTGCAAACCATTACACACTCAGGTCCCTGCAGTTATTTTTATTATGCAACACACGTCTAGGCTTTTTTCTTCTAGGCTTTAGGTCAACTCTAAGTCATGCAAGCCACAGTAGCTGGTTTTGCATGCCCTGTGTCTGGTGTTTGTTTTAGCTTCTGAATCCTGTTCTAACATGCACAAGCCTCCTTTGTCCAGCCCCCAATCACCTCAAATGCACCAGTCCACTTCCTGCAGTTGTCAACATTAACAAATGACTCTGGGAGACTGATAATTCTGAAGGGATTGGAGTAGACTCTAACCACGGGGCGTTGTGCTTTGTTGCTTTGTTTGGTCACAGTTCAATAGACATGAAACGGCCATTGTGTTTCTGTTGGGGAAACATACTATGAAAATAAACTTTTTTTTAAACCTATTTTCCATGTTACAACATTGTTCCTTGTCAAAAACACATCTTTTGCTTTTAGAACCATCCAGATAATCAGAGAGATTTCAAGTATGTGTGAGATTTCATAACACTTTTAAGCAACTTTTGTTGAAGTTAAACTCATCATTCTATCAATGTGCAAAAGCCTGTACTTTTCCACTTCATGTTTTGTCTATCTGAAGGCCAAGCTACATGGCACCCGTGGAAGCTGCTGATTGGAGGTCTCCATGCCTCCGCTCTGTATAATACACTTGCATTCTGTGTTCGTGCTGTCTCTACCATCGACAATAAAACATGTCTTCTGTCTGAATTTATGACACGATCCCAGACTATGTAGTAGTAGTAGTAGTAGTTTATTTGTTCAGTCACTTTTTCACAACTCAGACAATACAGATCATTTGAAAAAAATAAAGTAAAAAGTAAAGTTGACTGAAAGGGTTTAGGCTGAAGTGAAACACTTATAGAAGCCTAACCCTACTATAGCTTACTATAACCAGAACAACTAAAACAGCAACAATTAGCTTTCAGCATGGAAAAACAATAGTAAATTCAAATTGTTTTGATGATATAAACAATATTATAATGGTAATAATAATAATAATAATAATAATGTTGATAATTGCTTTAATATTATTTATTTATTCTAATTCTCTATATTTATTTATAACATGAATTTTAAGGACATTTTTGAAAATCTTGATGGATGTAGTTTTCTTTAGTGACTCATCCAGACCATTCCAGACAGCAACTCCTCTAACTGAGACACATCTACACTTTGCTTTGGTCCTGGCAGTGACCCTTTGGTAAATGTCAGTTCCTCTAAGATTATAATTTGATTCTCTGGTGTTGAACCTTTCCTGGATGCATTTAGGGACATTCTGATTGTGAACATTGTACATGACAACTGCTGTATTTAGGTCAACTATATCATGTAATTTTAGGGTATTTGATTTTATAAATAATGGATTTGATGATGAATAATAGTCTGCACAATTGATTATTCTGATTGCTTTCTTTTGCATTAAGAAGAGAGGCTGAATTGACGTTTTATAATTATTCCCCCACACAACCACACAATAATGCAAGTATGGCAGTATTAGTGAAGTGTATAATAGGTGTAATGATTTTTTGTTAACGATTTTTTTAATTTTGCACAATATTCCAATCATTTTAGATATCTTTGTCTTCAAGTATTCTATATGTATTTTCCAGTTAAGTTTTGCGTCAATGTTAACTCCCAAGAATTTTGTGTTGTACACCCTCTCTATTTCAATTTGATCTATATTTAATTTGGTCGGAAAGCCAATTTTTTTATTACCAAAAATAATATATTTAGTTTTGCTCACGTTCATTGATAATTTATTGTAATCAAACCATTTCTTTAATATTAATAGTTCATTTCCAGTTTTTTCCATAAGCTGCTCAAGATTTTGTCCTGAACAGTAGAGACTGGTGTCGTCTGCAAACAGAATACAGTGCATAGTTTTAAGGACCTCACAGATGTCGTTGATGTACAATATAAACAATTTAGGCCCAAGGACTGAGCCCTGTGGGACTCCGTGTGTGGTTAGGTTTTTATCTGAATTAACATTATTGACCGTAACATATTGATCCCTGCCTGTAAGATAGTTTTTTAACCAGTCGTGAGCAACTCCCCGGCCACTCCATAGCGTTCCATTTTGGCTAATAATAAATCGTGATTGATGGTGTCAAAGGCTTTGCTCAGATCAATAAAAACTCCAACTGTATACTCGCATTTGTCAGTCGCAGTTGAGATTGCTTCAACCAGCTCCATAACTGCCATTGCGGTAGATCGGTTTGATCTGAAACCAAACTGGTAGTCGCTTATAATGTTATGCTTACTGCAGAATTCATCTAACCAAATAATAAATAACTTTTCCAATATTTTTGAAAACTGTGAAAGGAGTGAAATTGGTCTGTAGTTATTGAGTTGATGTGGATCACCATTTTTGAAAATTGGTATTACTTTAGCGGTTTTCATTTTGGATGGAAAGATGCCTGTGAGAAAGGACTGATTACAAATGTAAGTAAAGGGTGAAACAATACAATGAATTATATTTTTTACAAACACAATATCAAGATTGAAACTGTCAGTGGACTGCTTATTTTTAAATGTTCTCACAATGTTAATGATTTCATTTTCCTCCACACATCTCATGTAGAAAGAGTTAACATTTCTTTTTACGTTAATAATATTGACATCATGGTCTTCTAACGGTGGAGAAATTGTTCTGGCGAGAGTGGGTCCGATATTTACAAAAAAATCATTGAATGCGTCTGCTATTTCTTTATTATCATTCATGATTTGGGTTTTATTCACAAAATAGTTTGGGTGATCTTTTTTGGTTCCATTTTTGAGTAAACCTTTTAATATTTTCCATGTACCTCGAATGTTGTTTTTATTCTGCTCCAACCTTTTATTATTGTAATCTTTTTCACTGGTTCTTATTATGTTTATCAACTTATTTTTATATATTTTATATCTTTTATCAGGTTCTTCAGTCCTGGATTTTAGGGATAATTTATAAAGGTGGTTTTTCTTTTTACATGCGTTTACGATGCCTTTGGAAACCCACGGTTTTTCTTTCTTGCCTGATTCTTTGCTGATACACTTCTTTGGAGGGCAGTATTTATCATAAAGGCCTACCAGTTTGGTCAAAAAACGATCATAGGCCTTATCAGGGTCTGTTGTGTCGTAGACCTCATCCCAAGTCTGGTTGAATAGATCTGTCCTTAAGGCGTCCATGGCTTCAGGGGTCCTGTGTCTTATCATTTTGTATTTGATTGTTTTGGGTGTAGTTTGCTTTTTAAGGATCTGGTGAAATATGCTAAACACAGGAAGGTGATCGCTAATGTCATTAATTAATAATCCAGCAGTTATTTTTGTTTCAAGACCATTTGTAAAAATATTGTCAATTAATGTTGCAGTTTCACATGTAATTCTTGTTGGTTTTGTAATGAGTGGAAATAGATTGTTACTGTACACAGTTGTAATGAATTCATTAGTTGGTGTGTTGTTATTAGGATTCAACATATTGATGTTAAAATCACCACAGACGATATGTACTTTTTTTATATTGCTAAATAATCTATCAATGTTCTGGTTAAATATGTCTATGCATGACCCTGGTGTCCTGTACAGACAACTGATAATTATATTTTTTGTTTTATCTACCTCGATTTCAACACTGATACACTCGAGAACGCCATCAATTGCCACTGATTTACTTTTCACTAGATTACATTTCAGATCCGTATCCACAAAAAATGCAACCCCACCACCCTTTCTGTTTGTCCTATTGACAGTAAACAATTTGTATCCTTCAAATTCAACTTCACTAATTTTGTTAGTATCTAACCAAGTCTCTGAAACTGCTATGACATTAAATCTATTGAATTGATTGAGATAATCTTTAATATTGTCAATATTTTTATACAAACTCCTACTGTTGAAATGAATTATACTGAATGCACCTACTCTATTTATGTCACAGAATTGTTCATTTGAATAATACTTACAGTCCTTCATCAAGTCATTATAAAAATTATTATCAGGATCGATATCCCCACCAAATTCATTCATTTTGTAGTTCAAGGTGTCAAATAATTCAAGATTTATCTGTTCGAAATCTGTTGTGGTGTCACTTTGATTAAGTAAATCAATATTTTCAAATTCTTTCTCATATTCATCTCTAGACTCTGTCATCTCTGTTGAGTTTGGTATTGCATCATAATAAAAAGTAACTCTTTACTTTGTCATGTCTTATGTCATCTTCTTCAGGTGGTGGAGAATGTGGGCCTTGTCTGTAACATCTACAGAACAGAAGCCTTTTTTTTTTTACACAAAAATTTGTGGTTTTTTTAAGCCAAAACTGAAAAGCCTCAAGAGAACCCATGCATCTGGATCAGCACATGGACAATCTGCACAGCCCCTGATTCCAGTCAGGCTGTGAGCTGCTGAGACATGGACAACACCATCGTCCTCTTTTGCATGGATACCATTTGGAACAATTGGATTACACAATTTGGACATGATTTGGAACAATTGGATTTCTGAATTTGGACATAATTTGGACTGAATTGGATTTCTGAATCTGGACACTGAAGCTGAAACGTGTGATTGAACGACACGTCACAGAAGAATCATGGCTCAACACAACAATGCAGCCTGAAGAAACCAACACGGAGAAGTGGGAGAGACTGTTTTCAAAGCAATATCTGGAACCACCATCGACTGATGAAGTTTGGTATTTTACTGAAGATTGTTGACAAGTTTTATGAAAGATCTGAACATGTTTTTGAAGTATTCCGAGTTCTGAGTTTTTGAAGTACAGAGTGAAGTACCGAGTTTATGAGTTTTTGAAGTATTGAGTCATGAT